CCTCCCCTCGCGCGTTGCTCACTGGGTGTTTTGCTCTCCCAAGGCCCTATTCCCCTGTGCTGGGTGTGTTCTCACTATGGTTTGCTCGGTGAGCTCGTTGTACCTATACAATCTTAAGCTAATTCACGGGGCCGCAATGCAATTCGTCCTGGGGGGGGTCGGCCAATCTCCTGGCACTGGGAAACCATGGGACGTCCCCACGAGGGGCCCCTCGGGTAAAAACCCAGGGTACCAGGTGATCCCCCCACAAGACCTTACGTGGGTGCATGTATGTGTTTAGTGGGGGTGTGCGTGCGTTCGTGTGTGGGGTGCGAGGGGATAGCATTGCTGGCATAGTTGCTCCGTTGCTGTGGCACCACATACTGAACACTTTTGCGTGGATTTGGCCAAACATCCCAATATAGGATCACAGAGCCTGACACTCCATGAGAAAATTTTATATTATACAATTTTGCATCTTGTTAAATTCTACAGTGTTCTAAGGTGACGTTGGTACAAATAACCCATTGTACAGATAATCATATATTGGTGTGTATTACCTTGATAGTGCCACGCTTGTGCTGTTTATTTCAACTGATGTTAAGCATTTGTTCATGGGTATTTTAGCACTCAACATATTTATGTTGTTGCCCATTTACTTACCTCAGCTATTTATGTATTATCTACTTACAGTACAGTATTAATAGTAATTTGAAACTTTAAATGAGAGTGGCTTGTACAGCCCACATCGCTCTATTTGCACTGATAATACGGTAAGAGGAACCAGTCCGTTTATGTTCAATGTCTAAAGCACCCCAGTCTTGTCCTGCGGTGTTAAACAGCAGCACCAAGTCTGGCTCCACAGCCCCTGAGAGGGATGTGCACTGGCAGACAGACATCACCTTAAATCACTTCCAAGTGTGCTATTCCACACACGATATTGCATGCGTGACCAATATAAAAGCATCCTAAATATACGTTATTCATTCAACATGCTCATGTCATCTATGATTCTCTTTCAACTGCATCCAGCTGAGGTCTGGCTCGTTCCCTAACCACAATGAATGCACTTTCCAGAATGCTCCTTTGAATCCTATTTGGAACATTCTTGTCATATGGCCTAACCCTAAAAACATGTGTTGGTCTGTAATTCAACCCTTGAAGTATCTTACTGTAATTTTAGGTTTTTACCCTGCAATTGTGTCCCTAATCCCCAGAAGCATTTACAATTTTAATATTTACTTTTTAAATTTCAGCTGCTAATTGACTGTGCAGCATAAAAAAATCAACAGTTCTGAAAAGTCTGCAATAGTTTTAAACGTATCCTCTATATGCTTTTACCTACTCCAGTTCTACTCTGGAAGGGGAAATATACATTTCTGTGTTTTAACCTTTGCACTCAGACCTGAAAACTGTAGTTGTGTAACAGTGTATTTGTATACGGTATATCACCATCGAAAGGGCGCTATATGAATCCTAAATATCATAGAATAGAACTGGAAACGTGGTTTCAGTGAAACGAAAAGTAATGCTTGGTTTTTCCCTAATGTTTATTATGCAGTATATTTAAAGTTTAGCCCAGGACCAGTTCGGATATTATTCACCACTGATGTTAGCCATGGGTGGGAATCAAATTCAGGTTCCTGGGTCCGGAGCGCAGTGTCCAACCACCATGCCAGCAACTACCTCTGATCACGCAAATAGCCAGTGAAAAACCGACTCGCTACCTGGGGGCTTAAGTGCCGAATCACTTTCGCAATTCTCGAGCAGACTGTTCGCAAGCACCTATTATAGCCGGGGTGGCGCACAATGGGTTCATAAACACGGACAAAAACACACGTAAAGACATTCCAATGCAAAGTAATGCACTCGAAGAATTACATGCACAAACGTAAATAAATGTTTGATTATTTTTCTGATATAAATTTCCACATGAAAGGTCGCTTGTGAAAAATAAACTAATAGCTCAGTGGACTTTACATGGTAAGATAAAAAAAATACTTTAGTTTTATTCGTATGTTTTTTTAAAAAGTTATTTGTTTACCTTTCATGTACATATTGTGTTTTTTATTATTTGTTGTTACAACATTCTGACCCCGTGCCCCTACTGGACATCTGTAACAAACAAAAAAATGCTCTATCGTTCATCGGATTCCTCCGGTATAAATAATAAAGATTCTGATTAACGTACGTCAAAGCTACACTGCCCGGTTTGGACGCACGGGAGCGATGACGTAGTCGGCGCCCATTTTGCAAAGGGACTCCAGCGCGGCCACGTTGCACGAGGTATCGCCTTGCGTGGCAGCTGATTGGCTGTTGTTTTGCGGCGGGAGCTATGACGTGGCACCCCCCCCCCCTTCCCACGCGATCTTGCCAAACAATCTCGCAGCGCGCCTACGCGAAGGGCATCCTGGCGGATTGTGATCCGCTTCTCCTGCCACCCGGGATTCCCGTGCCCCTTATAATCACCGATGCTATTCCCGTGCCCCTTATAATCACCGATGCTAGCACTGTCCAGGCTCAACGCTGCTTAGATTGAGCTTTTGACGAGATTAGGAATAGTCAGGGCGATTTGATGATGGGCAAATGCTAGAGATATTCAACACTGAACCTACTGAATTATACTGAACACCTGGGAGTTGTGATACTGTATTCTTGAGGATGTGGTTAGATCGCGCCTTCCCGGTGGTGAGGTTTTGAGCTTTCGATAAGTGTTGGGGTTTTATTTTGTTGTATCCGGAATTGTAAACGTTTTAGAATGTATAGTGTATAAATTGTGTTGGTTGTTGTACAGTACGGTAGTTGTAGTATGCTCGATGATACAAATAAGAGATAAAAATCGATGTCACACTGACCTGACATCTGTTTTAGATAGACTCGTTATGATAGCATATGGTTTGATTTGTGTGTAAAATGTGAAAATGAAAACGTTGGAGAGAAGTAAAGGCTATATACATTGCTGTTATGTGCTGTATAAACATGCTATAGAGATAACGGTATATACTATTTCACTTAATTTGAACTGACATGCGTGACAATCGGCCACGACCGTATTTGCTAATGCAAGACCTGTAAATATTACTGAACATCTTAAGTACGTACTGCTTGTATATTTATCAGAATGAAATGTATTTTTTTCTGTCTACGTGACTTTACCGAAAGAACCAGAGTATGGATTCCTGCAGTAACAAAAGCTTCAAATCAAGACCGAAATATTTAACTTGAAATGTATTCCTGGATGTACTCATGGTAACTTGGTGTGTAGAGGGTGCTGGTATTGGTAGTAGACATAGCAATGAAAAAGCCACCATGTATCCTGTATCAGCACTGGGTTAGCCAGGTGAAGTATCAGCTACACAACCACCTTAGGTTCTCGCTAACAACTTCCCCCCAAAAATGCTGTCCAGCTACACGCTAACATGTTTAGATTATTTAGCTGCTACACATTTCCCAATGATAAGCCACTTCGTTTAGCGATCATTTGTGACCAGGTTGCTTCTCAAAAAGAAGCGAATGAGTTCAGTGGGCTTTACCTGGTAAAATTAAAATACTGTAGTTTAAATAAACGAGTTTTTGTGATTTGTCGGCATCATGTTTGGCAAGGTGAATTATATTTGAATCAAATTACCAGGAGTTTGCTGCAGTGGTGGAGCAACATCATCATGCTTGTACAATAGCATACATTTAGCATATACTGTATATTCATATAAAAGTGAGTGGTCTCTTTCCGATTAATGACTCAAACATCCGTGGGAATTGAAAATAGTTTACATTTACAGTACGCTTAAGTGCAGTGTTATAGGTACAGTCAGTGTGTGTTGTTGAACTTATTTCGCACCGTACGTAGCCAACCGTGATAATCGGAGGGTACACTTAAAATTAACCATGGTAAATACATGCGATTCCTTGTTAAAAACATTTTCGAAGTCTAACCAAAAAAATGCATTCATTTGTGAGCATGCAGTTGCTTAGCAACAGGCATACAAAGTGCTGTATTCTCAGAAGGCCTTGGTGTTGAGACAAGTTGTGTGGGACCGTCAAATGCGCCTCACTTCAAATGTTTCTATTATACTTCAGCAGAGTGCACACTATTTGAATTGCGATACGTTTTAGCCGCGAAGGATTTCTTGGTGTGAAAGATTGTTCACAATGTTGATATTACAAAATGTCCCGCTCCTGTAAATATTTTTTTCTGAAGCATTTATGTCTGATGTGAGGGTGGCAGTTTGCCTGTTAAAAACCCCCAAGGTTTGCTCTGCTGGAAAGTGCACTTGCACATAAGTACACAGTGTTACACTGACATTTTGGGTTGCTCGGTCAATGGCCAGGGTCGACTGTGGCACCACGTGGTGTATTCCGCAAATATGCCCGACTGTGAGGGCGGGCACAAGCCGGCGTGAGTAGGTTAAACGTTGAGTTTTATAAGGGCACCACGGGGTGACCAGCCCCTCCCCACCCAGCCCCACCCCTCCCACCCCCCACCCAACCCCACCCTTCCCTCCCCACCCTCCCCACCCAGCCCCTCCCCACCCTCCCCACCCAGCCCCTCCCCACCCTCCCTTCCCCACCCTCCCCTCCCCACCCTCCCCTCCCCACCCAGCCCCTCCCCACCCAGCCCCTCCCCACCCAGCCCTCCCCTCCCCACCCTCCCCTCCCCACCCTCCCCACCCAGCCCCTCCCCACCCTCCCTTCCCCACCCTCCCCACCCTCCCCACCCTCCCCTCCCCACCCTCCCCACCCAGCCCCTCCCCACCCAGCCCCTCCCCTCCCCACCCAGCCCCTCTCCACCCAGCCCCACCCCTCCCATTTTTGGATGCACGACGGACGGACGGACACAATAATCCCCATGTGGGCTGCTGCTGGTGTAACCAGGAGGTTCCTACCCGTAAAATAAGTACCCTTATGTACACAGTGAAGCAGTGATGTTAGTAGCAGTTGCAAGCTCTACCGGTACTAACTGAACCCATGCATCCTAATTATATCTGTACCGGTCCTGGTCTTGACCAGCCTGGTGAAGTATGGTAAAACAATCCCCATAGCCGACACGATTCAGGTGTAAGTGTAATTGTACGTGCTTTAGATATTTTATCAAGCATGTGCTGTACTTGTGATTGTTTTAACTCATCTGAACCATACAACAAATTGTGACTCTGCGTCAATGTCAGCTGAACAACCCTGCATCACTAAATGTTATCGATTTGGCCTTTGGAACCGTGCTACGTAATTTTTTGACCTCTGCTACCTAAGACTTCATTTCATGGATCTGGATTTATATTACTGTACAATAATGAGATGGTGTAGTGGGGTTTTTTTTCCTCACAAAACCATGGGCAAAAAAAAAAACACAATGCTGCACTCTGCCTCACGAAACAACACGGAACAAAATAAAAAGGGGCATTTACGTTGTACAGTACATTACGCGGGCAATCCTCCTTTATACGTCCCGCCTTTCGCATGTATGCAACAAGTTTAACCAGTACCTGGGGCGGGCAACATACGCTCAAATTATAATTCACAAACCATTGATTTGTAACCTTGATAAGGCCAAAACAGAATCGCTTCGAGAGAGAAACCCTCCCCACAAGCGGCTGACACGGCCACGTGTTGATGCTGCGGGTGGGTTGGGGTGGCGCTGTGATTCATGTCGGCAGCCTTCAGAAGCCCGGCTTTGATGGCTGGCTAACAAGGTACAGTGCCATTTCCCTCCTGCTAGTCTTCTTCTTCTTCTTCCTGCTGCTGCCGCCGCCGCCGCTCCCCCCTCGTTACGCCGTCTTGCCTAAGGCAGGGCGAGGCAGGTGGGGAGGAGAAACGCGGCCAGAGCCCCCAATCATCGGCGAGCTGCGGCGTGTCAAGGGGCTCGCGCTCCTTGCGGCGGTGGGGGACACCGACAGTGTCCGCCCACTGCTTGCCGTGAGCCACGGACCCGCGTATTCTGTCTCTCTCTCTCTGTGTCTCTCTCTGTGTGTCTCTCTGTGTCTCTGTCTGTCTCCGTGTCTCTCTCTCTCTGTCTCTCTGTGTCTCTGTCTCTCTGTGTCTCTGTGTCTCTCTCTGTGTCTCTCTCTGTCTCTCTCTGTGTCTCTCTCTGTCTCTCTCTGTGTGTCTCTCTCTCTCTCTGTGTCTCTCTCTCTCTGTCTCTCTCTTCTGTGTCTCTCTGTGTCTCTGTGTGTCTCTGTCTCTTCTGTGTCTCTCTGTGTCTCTCTCTCTCTGTGTGTCTCTCTCTGTCTCTCTCTCTTCTGTGTCTCTCTGTGTCTCTGTGTCTCTCTCTCTGTCTCTGCCTCTCTCTTCTGTGTGTGTCTCTCTCTGTGTCTCTCTCTCTAGTCTCTCTCTCTTCTGTGTCTCTCTCTGTGTCTCTGTCTCTCTGTGTCTCTCTCTTCTGTGTGTCTCTCTCTCTCTGTCTGCCGCTTGCCCCCCCCCACCGCCCAAGCACGTACGGTGCTTGTTGTGTGGGGGTCTCGCTGACCGGGCCCCCCCCCCATCATCATCATCATCGCACACGGCAACGTTGTAGGGTGGGTGGGTGGTGGTGTTGTTGTGAGCGTCTTTGACGAGAGGGGTCGGGTCGAGTTCTAGCGTTGCTACTTTTTTTTGTAAGTGCTGACAACATCGGGCGCATATGTTTGAGCTCCGAAGGAGTTGAGGAAGGCGGGTTGCTCTTTACAAACTCTAAAAAGGCAAGTACGGAATGTTTTTCTTTTGTTTACTGTGAATGTATTACCGTGGTGTTCGAATGTAATGAGTTAAATTGCATTTAATCTGATTTGAAATTTAAGTTTTGCAGAAAGGGAGGTAACGGTTCATTTTGTAAGCAGTTTCCTTTGCTGTATTCCACATCTAATTTATTATACGGTACAGCATACAGTGTACAGTATACATAGATTGCGGCAGCAGGCACATTCTCAGTGATTTAGTCTCAAAAGACAAAATATACCTTCCAACATTAAATATGCAAATAATGCATGCTGTGTAACTCGGAGACATTACAGTCCTGTGCATTTGTGGCTCGTGTGTTCCATATACATTTGGGATAGTATTTTCGAACTTAGATGAAACAAATTTTAATTTGTGATGTCATTTTTTGTCCTTTGGTGTTTTATACTTTTCCTTTTAAGGCAGCGTTATTGACGAATGTGTTAAGTGTTTGTGTGCTTACGCACTGCTACCAATGCAGTATCACCAAATAATTTGCTTAATATTTCTATAATGTGACTTTCGGTTGTATATGCAGTTTTTACACAAAGATTAGTTAACATGACAATGCATTGTTCATAATGAGACAAATCCAGCGATTATGACACAACAATTTAGTGCTGGCTTTCTAGCTCCTTGTCGAATGAATTGTTGTGTTTTGATGTAATTTCAGTAGAAGATTTTGGTGCACATTCCTTGATAGACTTTGGTGCACATTTTTCGATCGCCATGAAAGGAGGCTAGGTTTTTCCTGGTTACATAGTAGCCCACCGACGTGCTCAACTCCATAAATCCTTCCAAGCAAATTGTACAAGATTAGATAGCCTTCAAGGTGTCCTGAGTGATGATGGTTTTGTCGCACTTTGCCTGTTATGATGAGGAGTAAGGATACCCTTGTTCTGGTCACAGTGTTTTAATGTATTCCCTGTAAACCACCAATCATTCAGGTACCTTACTAAACATGCATTGTAACATGGATTTAAAATAGATTAATCTATTAACTGAACACATTTGTTTTGGTGCTGTGGTAATAAGTCCAATATTGTGATGTTTTGTGCTTTTAGTTCAAAATGTAATGGTCAGTGCGCCTTTTAGAGAACTCAATTGCACGATGATTTTCCGATTGCCTTGGGAGTTTAAGAACTTAAGTGCTGCATGCGTGTGTAGGAGAATAAAGTGACTGAAAATTATAGAGAGCCTCAATACATCAACATACATTCATTTTCTCTGGAATTGTATATTCTAAAAGTGATAGATGATAAAAACATTCACAGTTGTATTTTAGCAGCATGTTATCAGTAGACATAGTTGGAATCAATGAGAGAGTGGCAGACTGATTTTTGGTGTAATGTGTAACCCTTGCAATGTAATCCTCTATAATACAAATAACGTAATGCATCTACAGCCCTTTGTCAATCCACTGCTGGATGAAGGCCTCCCCATACGTAACGATGCTATTCAGAGCAGGTTGGTGAAGGCGCTGACCCAATTCACAAATCGCTCGCCCACTGATGTTAGCTGTCGCCAAGAATACAACTCTGGTTACCAGGGTTCAGAGTGTGCTAACCATTGCACCACCACTCTCCCGAATGAAAACAATGGGGTAACTCAAATATCACAATGGGCAGAACGTTTTATGGCACCGACATTCCGACCAAAGATTAAACATTATGGCATAGGGTCTATGAATTCTAATTGTGTGAGCTGAGCTGCAATATCGTGCTGTCAGGAGCACCTCCCATTCGTCATTGACTCTTTTATAATAAATTAATGTCGCTGTCAACGCCTCAAATTTAATGTAATTTCAGCCTTGGGTATATATATTAAACTGTATAATTTAGTGCATGAGGTGCAACTCGGTTTGATACTTGGTAGGTGTTAAATATTTCAGTCGTCTCAATAATAAAATGCTGCATATTTGAGCAGCTGTTTTGATTGTGGCGTATTATAAAATATTAACTTTGTAGACTGTAAGAAAACTGCATCAGGTTTTGGCACCTGTCTTCTAAGAGTGTCTTTGAATTGCTTAATTCTTGACTTCAAGCTTTTGTGACAGTAGGAATTCATATTCTTTGGGTCTTTCGGTAAAGTCACGTAGATAGGTTCAAAGAAAATAACAAAAAAAACTACGACGTTTCGATCGCAACACAAGCGTTGGTCATCAGGAAGAAAAAAAGAGAGTCGGACAGCTGCTGAGGCAGTCTTGTTTTAAAGGTTTAAAATGGGTGTAGCCCAAGGGTCATAAACGACGTGGTCGGGGCTAGTGATGTTATTGTGAGAGATTAGCATTTTTATGTAAGATCGGAGAGCGGCCTCCATGAGTGTGGCGGAGGTGGCTATGTTAACCCAATTCACAAAGAATACATAACATATTAATGTTTAGATTTCTTTGTTCAATAATGGAAGTTCAGTTGCTTGATGAGCGCAGATGTCACAACTTGCCATACATATGTTTTGGGCAAGCAAATCAGTTGATGCAGCATGACGTTATTTTGTGCTCAAGTTCATCTTTTATATAGACTGTTTATCACACTGGACTTGCAATCCAAAGGTCACCGGTTTGATCTGGTGTGACAGTGGAAATGATGGTCAAGTTTTGTTTAAATCCGCCCGCCTGTATCCACCCAAGAGTATAAATGGGTACACCATATTTTGCTGATCGGCATGTCACATTTAGTGGGGTACATTGTGGGTACCACTCCTTCCAAGATGTCTGGTCAGTGTGGAAGAGTAGGCCAACTGCCCTCTGGAGGGGCTCTAAAGTTTCCTCTGGAGGCCCTTCCACCAGTAATGGCATGTGCAAGTATTTGCAGGGCTGCACATATACGTTTTCCTGTAATAAATGTAGAGATATTTAATGAGTCACGGGGAGGAGAATTTATCAGTCTTGTTTGGCTTGATGTGAGGCATGGTGACTGGAAGATCTACATTATAGGAGTATGTGAGGTAAGCAAGACCAATGTCTAATTCAGCCATTAAATATGTTTTGTAGACTAAGGCACCTCTTTAATGGTCAATTTAAAACAATTTAACTGCACAGACTGAAAAAAATATGCAAGTGTGTTGCAAGGTTTGTTAATTTAGTTGGGGTGGGGGTGAGCGGCGGTACAATGATTAGTGTGCTGTGTTATGAACTTGACAACCCAAGTTAAATTTATAGCCATTGCTAGCTTCAGTGGTGAGTGATATTCGAACCATTCCTGTCTGTCGCCTGCCTTCTGGGTCGTGACATGGCACAGCAGTTGAGCATTTGCCACGCGTTGCAGAGGTTTACGATTTGAATCCAGCGGCCGCTTTGATAATTACTGTGGCTGTATTAACCACAACAATATGCGTCGTATGATTTGCAGTGGATATTAAAGGTAACCACGTCATTCGCAAGAGTAAGCTATTGTGTGCTGGCATCAGGGTCTAAATTTGCCACATTCTAAAATTACCTGGAAATTACTCAGTTGGGATTATACATAGCAATCATCGCCCCCTACTGGCATATGAATGCTCAAGGCCACTCTTGCATATAAGACTCATCCTAGTATCTTGAGTTCTCATTTGGTTGAAGAAATACTATTTGAAACTCCCCTCTCACCCCTTTACTACCCTGCACTTATGAACAGAGTTGCAGTATGGTAGTAAAAACACCCATGACCAACAAGGCGTGGGGAAACCTTCCATTTGTGGATTGAGAATGGCTGGAATTTACGTTACGTGATCATGACCAAGGGAACGCAGAGTGATTTGTATGGGAAAAAATGCAGTGGGTAAATTCGCACAAGCATTTTCATTTGGGTCCATGGGGCTCCCACCAAATGCAGACCACACCCAAAGTGCATGGAGCCAGTTTACACCCGAGCATGCTTCTTGGCCTAGCAAATTTTGACACACCATGTCACAGCAAACTTCAGATTTAACCTTATAAACATGAATAACCACTGCAGAAAAATTTCAACACAATTATGGAATTTGATTTATGTTACGCTACCAAACCCCGTCTTAATCGTGGGTGCTATTTTTAAACAGTCAGGCTAATTTCCTATTACCATACTCTATTTGCATTAATAGTCCCATTTTAATTATCTAACCTTCATATTCGGAGTAAAATGAATACATTCTGTATTTCAAGTGGCTTGTAAAAGGCACAATGAATTGTAAAAGGCACAGGTCAGGGCTTGAAATTGTCTCTTTGTTTGCAAAGCTGAGAGCTGAATGGGGACACAATACCTTAAAAGCAAATTCTGCAGAGTGTGAAGACAACGCAGATTAATGTGCAGTAAGTCTATATAGTAGTACAATTCCTAATACGAACTGGCACTTAAGGTAGAAGGGGTTTATTCGAGCTTGAATGTTATTTAATAAGCAGAGGACGGTGTGCTCAGGGCAGCTCAGATAATTTTGCACAGATGCCTGTGTTTGGTGATGTTGTTTGCTGCTACAGATAATGTGTTGAGTAATTCCATTACTGCATGTGTGCTTTGTACAGTTCCAATAACTACTTTCAACCCTGCCCCCACATCGTGATTGATAGGACAGCACGTTTCTCATGTCAGAATGCTGCTGCATTTTGCATTCACCTCATTCCTGGTAGAGTCTCTGCAGGAGTTATTGCCAAAGCACGATACGTGATTGAAACATTCATTAGGCTTGTGTTGATGTGAAGGAACTCGTCGGAGCTTTAAAAGATAGAGTTGACTGCAGTGTTTGGCTCCACGCAGAGTAACTATCCTGTCGTTTTTCACAAGCAGGTTCTCTCGCGTTGCATTTAGAAAGCGGCGTGCAGTCTCTCGGTATAAACCAACATGAAAAGGCACAATTACAATGCTTGTGTTGTTTGATAGGAATAGCAGGATATGATTATTAGTTACCGTGTGATGGTGAGTGCCACATTACTCAGGGCTTAAGGAATTAAAAATACATTTCATTCTGATGACTTCTTTAGAGGCATTCACATGATTGCATTTTCTTTCAGGAACCGTGGTGCCGTGCACGCTGTTCAACCACACAGAGGTTATTTCTGAAGGAAATTTACACATCTGTGACCTTAGTAAGCAATCTGAGAGAACATCTGGCAGAACCCACTCACGGAAGAGCCAACAGAAAGGGTGATTTACATGGTCAAAACCACTCATCAATAAATATATGCTGGAAGAGCAGGGCAATGTTATTTTATTCCTCCCTTGGGTTTGACATTTGCATTAAGAGACCATCCCCCATGACAAAGTGATCCCGCATGAAGCAAGACTAGGGCGCATTTAATTCTTATGAGAGAGGGGATCCGGCCTAATACAGTGCGAGCGGTGACATCATCATTCAACATGTTCTCCATCGGCCTGTGAAGCCAACAAACAAAAGCTCAAGGTTGTGCTCAAAGGGCCAGTTTCACGGAAGGGCCGGACCTTCTTTGGGACTAAAGTCGTCATCGTGATTTCGAGATAGAAAAGAAGACTCCCTCCTTGGACATGAGTAAAAGTGCAAGCAGTGAAAGCCGAGGGTCAGCTGGGTCGCAGCCCCCAGCGCAAGGCAAGAGCAGCTCCTCGCAGAGAGACAGTCAGCAGGTGGGAAGCACCACATACACACGCCATGTCTCATCTGTTCCAACAGGCGTTGTTTGCTGTGATGGAATTTTACTCGCTCTCATCGTTACCATCATGATCATCAGGGATTAATTTCTAATGGAATATTTTATAGGGCCCCCAACTCCCATAACCCTGTTCCCTCCACCCGTTCCCACTGATGACGGTAGGGGTGGAGGGCAATTGTTCCGTTGTTGAATTTGAGTTTGTAGTGCTTTCTCCTCACATGCACATATTTTTTACTTGGTGCTTGATTGTTTCCACATATAAAACGTTAATGAAGGAATTCGCCAATGTATCCCAATGCATGGCCCTCCCGAAAAAGCATCATTATGCTCTGTCAATAATGATGAACATAATCACGAGTTTCTTGTATAGAGCATATTTTCTGACACAAACCTCAATGTACTTGATGGCCAAAACAATTATTGTCCAGCAGCATAACTGCTCTATTAAGTATGCATCAATCCATTGCTTCTCCCTTTGCTCTGACATTGCACCTTTACAAAAAAAAAATTCACATTTGATTCAGATCAAAGAAACGTTAACAGCGCCTTTTTATTGAAAAGGACAGGATTCCAGCTCAAATGCCTATACTCAACTGCATATAGGTCTTCACCTCTTTTTTTGGTGTTATTATAAACACGGGTGTTCTATGCGTGACTATGAATTGTAGATGCATAATGCTCGCAACCTCGCGTGGCACCGAAGAATGACAAAAGACAAAGGGAATTATTCATGTCCAGCAAGCCAAGCAGTGCACACCCCCCCCCCACTCTCTCATTTTATCTTAAGCACAATCCTGCAGCCAGACAGGTGATTGACAGCTAAAAGGTTTTGAAATAAGTAGGCACTTTTTCTTGGTAAGTCGGCTATCAGTCTGAGACTGAAGACCACATCATCATTCTTCACCATTAGCAAAGTGAGATTTTTTTTTGCTGTGCCTCATTACACATTGTCTATTAAAACTAGAAAATAAACTTGCGTGCAGGTGCTTGGTGAATCGTTTCCTCGCAGGACCGTGACGGATGCTAACGGCTTGGGCAGGTCATATTCCATCAATGAATTGGTCATAGCTGATAATGATGATCATTATTCAAACGAGGATTCTGAAAATATAAATAAATTTACAATTTTCATTTGATAAAGTAAAAGATGAACTGCAATGGTTATCATTACCTCCGATTAGCATGGTTGGCTACATACGGTGCGAAAGAAGCTGAACATACATGCGTACCTAAACTTTGCACTGTTAATGTTGAACTCTAAAAAAAGATTGCAGGCTCGGTTATTAAATAATAAGCATTACAATTCAGGGCACTCAAGTGTATTGATTAGCCTTTTCACAATTCAAAGCAGTGTTACTTGCCAAAAGTGAATAAATATTAGCCGTAGAAAAATAGCTCAATGATTGTAATGTTTGAGATGCCAGTAATTGTTCAAGGATTCCCATGCATTATAGATTTCCATTCCTGGAAAATATCCATGCATTTCGGTACATATACCTATTATTGGCATAAATATTATTGTGATGTAGAGATGTGTGTAATTATTCTATCATTCTAGGAACTGGTATTCATTTCCTGGCCATGTACAACATAAGACAAATGTATATATGAACTCGATTTGAGCCCCCTCTAGGTAGATTCAGCCTATACTAAGTACCTGGCCAAATTATCCTCTTGTGTGCCACACTGACCTTGATAAGTGCTCATTAACATCAGTTGCCACGACAGTCTTAGAAATATTTTTGGTTGTGTTTTATATGTATGTGTTTGTATGTCTTTGATTTTCCAGGACGATGGAGAAGTGTGGGAAGTTGTGGATGGAATGAGTGAGTGCCAGGGCAGTTTGACACCACCAGTTCGGAAGGAAGGTTGCCTGCACAAGAAACGCAAATGGCCCCTGAAGGGCTGGCACCAGGTACTTTGGGAGACACGTAAATTGTAATGGTTTGCTTCAGCACTTGTCTGCTCTAATCGTCCACTCACGAGAGAAAGGCGCATTCCTGTTTTGTATTTGTAAATAACTAGACTACATTACATTGCTCGATTTAATATCTGGACCGTCGTAACGCCAGATAACTGGACAAGAACAAATGTGCAGTGCACATGTTCCACATTCCCCCTTTGAGAATGATCATGTCATGGGCATATATCAAGCCAATTTGAAAGACCATTTAAAACAGTAAATAAGGCACGGATGTTGTTTTGGATCAGCAAGTCTTGATGAATAACGCGTGGTATGAGGCCAGCCAACGTCACGTCTTGCTGATATGTTTTTGTTTCTCAGCGTTTCTTCACTTTGGATAACGGGATCCTGAAGTATGCAAAGACACCCATAGATGTAAGTAGCAACCAGAGTGAAATGTGAAGTGTAGAGGCTAAAGTATATTATTGTGTGTTATCATGGCGCTCATCTTATAGCCAACAAGGAGCCTGTTCATCCACAAACCGCCTTTACTGTCACACGGACAGTAAAAGTGACATTCCGATGAAAATTGTATACTGCATACTGTATGTGTATGCTATACTTATGTTTAACTTCTTTCGCACCGTACATAGCCAACTATGCTAATCAGAGGTGTGGGGGAAAGAGAACAAACTAAACACAAAAGCAGTTCTAAGGAAATTAATTCCAATCTAGAGCTATCGTTATATATTTAGTTGACGTCCGTATTCAATATATTAACGTATATCAAAGTAATGACATATCTAAACATTGTATATGTGTAGATTGCTGACGGTGGTACCTCAAAGCTTGTTTGAGCATACATTTCCTGTGAATAAATACAACCTATTCTTTATAGTTTATGAAACCCTGATATTGACATAATCATACTGTACAGAATATCCTATGCCATATGTCTATTTTACCTGTTAATACCGTAAAGTCCACTTAAATATGTTACTATATGTGAGGAATCCATGTTATTAAATATTACACCTAAACCATTTAGCACGTCTAATTAAATACAATTCAGCCCCATAGGGGAAGTATACCATGTAAAGCAATGATAAAATGTACACATGTTGCAATTAATAATTGCATTATTTTGATCATTGGTAATAGCATGAAAGAATTACCCCAATACAGAACAACACAATGTGTTATTGCAAATGTTGACATACAATAATTGGTTATTATAAATTTGCTCGTAGTTAATATTTTATGGTCACACCTCTCACAATTACTCTTGCAAGGTGATGACACCCTCGTTCCACTTACATTCCACACAGATACTCATTGCTTCCTCATGTGTCCCTTTGATATGTTCCCATTCTCATTTGGGCTTCATTATCATTACATTGTCCCTCAACACCACCTACCCTTCAATACTTTTAGCTATTCTAACAATTCAAAGGGTGCTTTATGGTTAGCATACTGGATTGCAATCCAAAGATTGCCAGATTGATTTGATCCCCTGGTGCGGCTGTTTAAAAATGGGCAAATTTCTTAAATCCCCACCACCTCTCCATCCAGCAGTATAAATGGGTGTGTCACAGTTAGTCAATCGGAATTTCACCTGTAGTGGGATAAAGTGGGTATTTCCATTTCATCCAAGACATCTGGCCAGCATGAAGGAGGCCCTTCTGCCAACAGTGGCATTAGCAATACATTGGAGGGCTGCACCTACACCTTTCACCTAAAGCATGCATTCAAGTTTATGAACTATCTCTATGTCAAACAGTAAAACAGAAACAATTCCCCAGATGCATACAAAGGAAGCCACATGCATCCGTGTTTCTGATTCAGAATTACTCAAATGAAAAAAATTACAATTTAATACATGAAGACTTGGAGGTAATGGTTTTTTTTAGAAATTGCCTCTGATTTGGTTAATATTCACTGAAGTTGTGTTTACGCTGAAGCGAAAATGCGTGCTGATTCGATGCTCTTTTAAGCATTTTCACACAATTTTGTAAGGCAGGATAGTGGGGATTATGTTGTCTAGCTATCATGCGCATCACACATTAATATTTGCATTTGTGTATTATACCGTCTCACATATAACACCAGAGTATTGTCATATAATTTGGAGGTTTTTTTGGACATATGCTTGAGAAAATAATTTTTGTCTTAGCTGTAAAATGAAAAATTTCCACACTATGATAAACAGATTTCTGGTGATGCATGTCTTCTTTTCCACGCTGTTAAATTAAATACACTGTATTTAATGACGCTAGTTGTAATTACTGGCGAAACGTCGTACTCAGATTGTTAATGTTGTGGCTTGGCTCTCCAACACACCGGTGTGCTATACTAGTGACAAATTGGCATGTTCTGTTTACGTGACAACCCTTACTAGTTGGCTGTGTCAGGTGGTGGCGGGTTTTAACAACACATTTACATATTTACGCGATCTAACCCAAAAAAACCTCTTATGGATAAATACACTTTCTAATGTAGCATAGGGCACAATGAAAATGCAGGAAGTGGAAGCGAGATGCGTCACTTTTACCCTATCTGCCTGCCCAACTTCAGATGATTTCCCACACAAATGCGACATTTGGAAGAAAATTGTACCTTGATAGGAATTATTATTATTGAATTGTCCAATAATACCATCATATTCACGACTGCCGCACACAAGCTATCTCAGTATTCTCCACAACACATTGAATTTTTTTTATCCAATTTTTATATTCCTATTTACCCAGAATATATAAAGGGGCTTCCTTGAGTTGAGAAGCTTCTGCCAACATTGAATTAAGCAATAATTCTAGAGCTGCACCTTTACCATATCAAAGAATGCCCATGAGTCTCAAGACTCTTTTTCAGAAGGCTCCTAGTTGAAATATTTGTTAAATTCCTTATTGAGTATATTTTATGTGCAATGAAAATGGAGTATCTGGATTAGGGAAATGCACTTTAGTCTATACTGATAGGTGATAACCTACTTGATTTGCTGTCTTTTACAGGCCACCCCATAGTCCTGCAACTGGACATCTTATGCATGATCTCTTTGTGGTCTACCATTGCTCTTTCTCAAATGATGAATTACACACTTGTGTGACGATAACCTGCCATAGTCTACTACTTTTATTCTCACACAATTCACAGGCAGCACTGAGGAGTCTGCCCCGTTAGTGGTTTATTTGCGCATTAGTAAACTCTGAAGGTGTGGCTGCGTCTCTGTGTCCGTGTAGGTACAGCGGGGCAGGCTGCATGGCTCCATGGACCTTGGTTTGTCTGTCATGTCCATCAAGCGAAAGGCCGGCTGCATTGATTTGGATAATGAGGAGAGCATTTACCACCTCAAGGTATGTGCAGTGACCTTCAGGGAAATCCCACAGATCGGTAGTGCCAGCTATCATCAAGCCTATTCTTGAAATCATATACATTTCAAATCTATGAAAGTACACAATTAGATGTCTTTCAGCTATTATTAATGAACTAGCCTTTTGCCCATCCAAGGACGGGTGTATTGCAGTAAATCTTAAACTTGAAAGGGAAAAGCAGACCGCGACATGATATTCATTGCATTAATGCGTGTGCAATTTGTAAGGACGCGGTGACAGATCTATTTCATTTTCAGGGTATGATCCCTTGTTCATCATGAGTTCTTTTTACTTTGATATCTCAATAACGTTACGGAGATCACGTGACGTGAGGGTTCTGCCTTTGTAGTGAGGGTTGTAGGTTGACGCCGAGGAGGGGGGAGGAGGTGCCTCGGCCCCCAATGTGGAGTGACGTCAGCCAATAATTATTATGAATGGGGGGGGGGTCTATTTGGAGGACGTCACCTTATAATGAGTATTAATGAGGGGGGCTGTTTGATGTGGAGTGTCGTCACCTGCTCATGATTATGAATTCGGGGGGAGGGTACTCCATGTGGAGTGACGTCACCTGCTCGTGATTATTAATGAGGGGGGGGGGTCCATGTGGAGGATGTAATCTGTTCATGATTATTAATGAGGGGGGCTGGTCGACGTGGAGTGACGTCACGAGCGATGCACACAGACATTCTTGGCTCATAGTAGGTAATAATGGGGGGGTGTCCATTTGGAGGACATCACCTACTCATGATTATTAATGAGGGGGGCTAGTCCTCCATATTGAGTGATGTCACCTGCTCATGATTATTAATGAGGAGGGGTGGGGGGAGTGTCCATTTGGAGGACGTCACCTGCTCATGAATAGTAATTAGGGGGGCTGGACGATGTGGAGTGACGTCACGAGCGTTAAGGACAGACATTCCTGGGTGATTATAGTAGGTATGTGATATTTGTCGGTGTCTGCTTCCAGACAAAGTCCAAGGAGCACTTTGAGCAATGGGTGTCGAGTCTGCGCCACCACCGGCAGCACCGGCAGTTCAGCATCTCCATGGCCCCCTCGGTTGACGGAGACACCCCTGTATGTGCCGTGGCTGGACAGGCAAGCACACTTGCACATGTCAGCATGTCACATTATTCTCATTAACCGTGTGCTTGCTATATATAATGTGCTTCATTCACACCACGCTCACCCGCATACAGGTGCATTCTGGTGTGTCGAACATGCTGTTTGCGCATGTGTTAGACTTTTTTGATTTTCCACTGCTACATGTGAATTGTGGTCGCATCACGTGGGCTGGAAATCTTCACATTCCGGGTTTGGGTGTAGCCCCACGTTCCTATGTGATGGTTTCGGGCTATTTAGCCTTGTGGCTTAACTACTCCAATGTGCCAAAAATGTCACACCCAAATGTGACTTTTATTTTTTTATGTTAAATAAAACGAAAGATTTAACGATAGTCAAAGAGATACTTATAGAAATACAGCACATGCATCCTACAAAAGCCATACACTATAACAGGATAAAATACAACTGCTTAACCTGTCTCATCATCATAAACCATGGTGAAGTCATTGCTGGATGTAAGGCCCTCCCCAAGCTGCTGCCACCTTTCACGAGCCGTAACAAATCTAATGCATTTCGTTATTAAGCAATTCTCCCCGACTTGATTTGGTAAAATATTTGAAAGTATATATGCTATTTGACGAGGTAGAGCTTGCAAGTTTACTATCGGTTTCACTTTTGCAGCAAAGGAAGCTGTGCAGTTGACAATGTGAGACAATTTCCTTAATGTATAGGGAGATTGCACACATTGCAAAATAACCACTTCCTCTGAACATTCCGTAAACAAGTTAAGCTGCTTTGGGTTGCATAGAGCAATGTAAACTATTTGCAGCGCACTACTTAATGCTGCTGGTTCTGAAAACAGTGATAATATTTAATGTTTACAGTGCCTTAGTGTCTCTTCTAACTGACATTTGTAATGTTTCATCAAGGTTTGTGTTTATTTTCATTTAAATCATAGGTGTATGGGAATACATTCCAAATTATGGTTTATACACGTAAACCTCTTGAAGGTTCACACACAGCATCATTAACCATGATTAATCCATTGTTGGATGAAGGGCTTCCCAGTCGCCACTATCCCTCACACACCCGCGATGCAGCAATTCACCCGTAATATTTTAAATATAAGCTGTGTGAGCATGAATTATAAAATCTCCTAAACAATGACATTTTGAAACTAGATTCAAAGCTTTCGTGACTGCAGGAATTACTCTTTGGTGCTTTCGGTAAAGTCACGTAGAAATAAATAAAATAATAATAGAATACGACGTTTCGATTGCAACACAAGTAACGATCATCAGGTGTGTGTCTCTGTGTCTATGTTTTGTCTCTCTCTCAAATTTAGCAATCTTTGGAAGAACGTAATCAACCAGGTGGGGTGTTGACTGTTTTGTTGGCCGACTTTCTGTGTTGTATTGTATTATATTTCCAACTTTACTATGTTTGTTTTCTCATTCATTTGTACCTGATGATGGTTGCTTGTGTTGCAATCGAAACGTCGTGTTCTATTATTATTTAATTTCTTTCTACGTGACTTTACCGAAAGAACCAAAGAGTAATTCATTTTGGGCATCACTGTTGCGCTGCATGCAGCAGCAATAGTCGGTGGACTTCAGAGAGAGCATATAATATAGGGCGGCAGTGGCGCAATGGTTTAGCTCGCTGCGCTCCAAAGCCAGCCACATGAGTTCGATACCTGCTCACGACCAATAACAGTGGCAAATACTTGAACTGTCAACTCGGCCCCAAATGAGTAATGGTGTGGTGTGTAAACATTGCCACTAGGGAGCCAAAGGTGGCCAGGCGTGGTTCTGGCCACCCACCCCTTCGTGTGCCGTGCCATCCTTCTTACGTGCTCGCAAACAGCACTTCTTCCAAATGTCTGTTCAGGTTATACAGGGGATATTTATCTTTTGTTTGTTACGAATATTTCCAGCCCAATATTGACAACGAAATATGTTGGCTCAAAGCCATCTTTCTGTTTGTATTTAGTGACTGCTGTGACTTTGTTTTGCCCATATTAAACCTTTCTGTGGTTCTGTGCCGTTATGATAATAAAAACACCTAACATGATGTGACCCAGCGCTTAAAGAGCATGAGATACTTTTAAGGGTTTATAATGCATTTGCCTGCGGCATTTACAGATGTAATTTAAAACAATCTATTCAAACGTCCGCTTTATAGGTGCGCGTATGTGTGTGTGGTTGTGGTGATAGCGTCGGCAGAGCAGCCTGCATCGACAGGCCTCCCTGGGGCCTCAAGCACGCCTTGCTGCTGGGTGGTACCACGACTCCCAGGACATGGAGAAATGTGACCGAGGTACAAATCATTACCCTCCCTGTACTTAGTGCCCCATTGGAGTTGAGATTTGGCTCGCAATGCAGTCTGCTGCTCCAAGTACAGCAGTTTCCATGGCCAAAAAAATTCGAATAATAATTGGGCTCAATGGATTGTGGCATCATGGGACCTCCTTTGCCAGTACCAAAACATAAGAATAGGTTTTCCCCTTTTTTCTGGCAACAAAACAGGTGTTAAGATGTTAAAACACCAAACTGAATCCTTTTACAATGAATTATGTCTGTATTAACCACAATACTTGTGGTCAGAATCCAAACAAAAAACATACTCTGATAATATATTAATTGTCTTTGAAACTGATTGGTCCACACCAAAGACAGCTTTCTTTCGAGTCCTAGTCTCAAACGGTGTTAGACCAGAGGACGCCAAAAGGCATGGTTAATGCAGACATAATTCCTTGTAAAAGGTTTCAGTTTGGGGTTTTAACATCTTAACACCTAAAATCAAGATTGAACTTCCTCTAATGGGGAGGATTTCCACACATCTCAGACATAACTTCAACCGAGAAGGTGGATGCAAAATTTTGCAATCTTTGGAAGGACGTTGATCAACCAGGTAAAGTGTTAGCTGTTGTGTTGGCCGACTCTCTGAGTTGCATTACATTTCTAAGTTTGGATCTTTTTTTCTTTTTTATCTCTATCACCTTGTTCCCTCTGTAAATTTCACCCCCACCCTCTCGCCCGTTACGGCAGCCCCTCCCCTCCCTCCCCCCTCCCTTCCTCTCTCGGATTTATGCTAACTCTGCGATCTTACATTTACTTGGAAATTCCATCCCTAGCCCACTTACCCTTGGGTTGTACCCACCACAAACGTATATAACCTTTGGTTGCAGTAGCTCTCTCGCTACATTTCTTCCTGCCTCAGCAGTCCGCCTGCTGTATTGTTTCACCTGAAGATGATTGCTTGTGTTGCTATCGAAACGTCATGATCTATTAGTTATTCTTCTATCTACGTGACTTTACCGAAAGAACCAAAGAGTATCTTAACACCTATACTCTTTGGTTATTTCGGTAAAGTCACGTAGGTATAAAATAAAATCAATTAAATCACGACGTTTCAGGCGCAACACAAGCATCCTTCATCAGGTGGGACAACCACAGCAAGATACAAAATTACTGTAGTGGGCAAACAGCTGTTCGTGACAAGCGTTTATTAAGGTTAGAGGGGCGGGGAGGAGCCAAGGAGGAGAGATGCAGGGGGCGGGAAGTGTGGAGTCGGGGGGGGGGGGGTATTACCATGTGAAGATGCACGATTCCGGGACTGGGTAATGAGCTGGCCTGTGAGGGGGGGGGGGGGGGCGTAGCGTGCTATAGAAACTGGGAATACGGGTATGGAAGCAAGATATATACGCAATTTAAGATTTTACCTGGTTAATAACATCCTTCCAATGATTGCTCAATTTGAATCCATCCTCTCGGTTGAAGTTACGTCTGTGTTTGAATATCTGGATGGCTTCATGAACAAACCTTTAATAGTAGCCCGAAGGTTTGCAGAGTACCTTGGTCTTGGAAAAAAAAATATCATGAGAGCCCACAGCGTTATAGCAATAGTCAGCCATGGCAGAGGTATTGGTTCTGCCGTGTTTCAGATCTGACTTGTGCTCGCGAACACGGTCCGAGATATGTCGTTTCGTTTCCCCCATGTAACACCCACCACAGGTGCAACTTAGTTTGTAGACTCTAGGATATTGCATGTCAGGAATGACATCCTTCACAGATGGGATTAGATCACGGATTTTGTGTACTTTACTGAATCGGATTTGGATCTTGTGTTTAAGATTTTAGAAATCTTTTTGGTAACGCCGGCTATGTATGGTAACGTGATGGTTTTGATCGGCGTCTTGGGGTTGTTTCTCCATGGTTGGAGAAACAGCTTTGCGAATAATGCGGTCCGAGTACCCATTCATCTTGAGGGCCTGGTGTACGTGTTCTAGTTCACTGGCTAGGTGGTGTTGGGCAGAAATGCAGTAGGCCCTATGGTGGTTTGATGAGGGAATTCTGTGCCGAATGGTGGTGGGAATCAGGTTTCAGATAGGAATCTGTGGGTGGCTTTCCTGTAGACAGTGTCCCAAAGAGCCATCAGATCTCTTCTCAAACAAAACATCCAGGAATGGTAGCTTGCCATCCTTCTCCACTTCCATAGTGAATTTGATGGATGGGTATATGGAATTAATGTGGTTGAGAAATTGGTTCAATGCTGGCAGGCCATGTGGCCAAATAACGAAAGTGTCATCCACATATCTCTTCCACAAGGAAGGACGTAGGGTGGATGTCTGGATGGCATCTGTTTCAAATTTCTCCATGAAAACATTTGCTATCACTGGTGATAAGGGGGAACCCATGGTGGTACCTCAGTTGTTTGTAGAAAGTACAATTCCAGGTGAAGTAAGTGTTGGTAAGGCAGTGCCTAACCAGAGTAGGAACATCAGGATTCAGTTCATGTTGGATTAAATCTTCAATTATTGCTAAGGTGTCAGGCACAGGAACCTTGGTTGACAGAGAAACTACATCAAAGCTGACGAGAAAATCATCTGGGGACAGAGAAATGCCCTTTATTAGAGCGACCAAGTGAGCTGAGTTATGTACTGCTGAGGTACTCTTACCAGTGAGTGGAAGCAAGGTATCAGGCAGAAAACGGGCCAGTTAGTAGGTAGGTGAGTTGATAGTGGCAACGATGGGCTGAAGTGGAGTACCTTCTTTATGGAGCTGAGGAAGACCATATCATCTGGGTGGTCTAGTAGCAGAAGGTTTTAGGGAGAGCCGTATGACTGGTTCGATTAGAGAAGTCGAACTGGTAATGATATTTTTGTTTTTTTTGTTAGTAGGATCTTTGTTGATTTTGGTGTAACTGCCATCATTAAGAAGGTCCTGGATTTTCTTGTTGTATGTGGTTTTATCCATGATGACAGTAGCATTGCCCTTGTCGGCCGAGAGGATGACTATGTCATCTCTCTTTTTAAATTTTGCGAGTTCAGAGTGCTCGTCTTTGCTGATGCTACTAATGGGTTTCTTAGCATTTTTAAGGATGGTGGCAATTTCAGATCTAGCAACGTCTGTCAGGACGTGTGCCAAGCCTTTGAGGGCTACATCGGCCTGGGAGATTATATCATCCACTGGGATATGTTTAGGGGTGACTGCAATCATTGGAAGGATGCTATTAACCAGGTAAAACCTTAACTGCTTTATGGTGTTGCCTTCATATCCGCATCTCCAGTTTCTTCAGCCTCCCACTCCCAGCCCCGCTCACTTTTGCCTTGCTCGTTTCCTAATCCCTCTAGCAGCGCTCCACTCCCCCTACCCCACACCCCCTCTATCTCGCCTCCTTTGCGCCTCCCCCCTCTCTTACCTATATAGCCTCTTGTCACAGCAGCCCTTTTGCCCACTTCAGCAATTGTTTCTTGCTGTGGTTGTCCCACTGATGACGGACGCTTGTGTTGTGCCCGAAACGTCACGATTTAATTTATTTTATTTTATACCTACGTGACTTTACCGAAAGAACCAAAGAGTATGGATCCCTGCAGTCACGACAACTTCAAATCTAGATCTTAACACCTGTTTTGTTGCCAGAAAAAAAGGGAAAACCTATTCTCGGATTGTGGCATGTTAAAGTTAATCATGTATCATGTTACCAGCAATCTTAAGGTCACATGCCTTTGCTGGGCTGACATCAGAAGTATATATTTGTGGGAGCGATGTAATTCTCACAGATGTGCCAAATTAATCCTTTTGTGAATGGTGCGGAATTGATATTCTTTGGGTCTTTCGGTAAAGCCACGTAGATAGAAAAATAATAAAATATCACGACGTTTCGATCGCAACACAAGCAATCGTCATCCGGTGAAAAAAATATAGCGAGAGAGCTGCTGAAGCAGGATGTTATATAGGTTTGAGATGGGTGTAGCCCAAGGGTAAGTGGGTGGGGGTAGAGATGGAATCTGCATGTAAATGTAAGATCGGAGAGCTGATATACCTCCACGACGACGCAGCTGTGGAGGTGACCATTGCATTGTGAGAGATTAGCATGTCAATGTAAGAGAACCACCGCAACAGTGGCTGTGCTAGTGAGACATCCAGCTCCTTAAAAAACCAGGGACACCGCCAACTCGAGGACAAGGAGCAACGGTTGCTGTGTTAGTGAGACATTTAGCGTGTATGTAACTCAGAGAGTCGGAAATAACTACTAACATCGGCAGGTAGGATGGAAACATTACATCCAGTTATGACTTAAACTGGTTAATAACGTCCTTCGAATGATTGCTCAGTTTGTACCCATCCTCTCCGTTGAAGTTGTGTCAGTGTTTATATATCTGGATGGCTTCATGAACGAATCTCTGTTGGTAGCCAGTGGGTTTGCAGAGTACCCTCGTCTTGGAAAAATAAATGTCGTGTGTGCCCACAGCGTTAAAACAATGATCAGCCACAGCTGAGGTATTGGTCCTACCGTGTTTCAGATCTGCCTTATGTTCCCGAACACGGTCCGAGACATGTCGGTTAGTTTCCCCAATGTAACTGCTGCCACAAACACAGCTTCGTTTGTAGACACCGGGGTATTGCATGTCAAGGATCACATCCTTCAAAGATGGGATCAGAGCACGAATTTTATGTAACTGGGTTGAATCGAACCTCGATCTTGTGTTTGCTCATGATTTTGGAAATCTTTCCTGCAGTCACGAAAGCTTTAAGTCAAGGTGTGGAATTGACTTCGACCTTCAGGCTACCCCCCAACGTCTTCTGTTGGTGGTATTAAAATGTAGATGAAGAGCATTTAACTCAGCATCCGTGTTTGAATTAACCTCATACATGCCTGCTTAGGGAGCTCTGCCACACATGTAGCAGAACGCAACGAATACATGCACAGGATTCACCCTCAGTGGCCTTGAATATGATAAAAACATTAAAAAGCTCTCGTCGAAGGAATGAACCATGCATAAACCAGGCTTCCAATTGTATAATACAGTACTCGGCTACAGTAATGATCACATGTTTACATAGAGCTCATTAATGGAACACTGAAAATAAACAATGTATGCATCATATACGATACAGCATGAATTCCTCTACATTTAAATTTGTTTTAATTCACCGAAAAAAGCATAGTCTTTTCATTAATCCCTACAATCTATTTTTCATGAACACGATGCTTTTGAACACAGCGTGTTGTTTTTTTCTCCACCCCCCGCCCCCGCAGACCTCTTGCATTGTCAAAGTGGGCTCGGCAACATGGAGCAAATGCTGCACAGCCTCGAGAGTCTACACAAGTCACAGTCGGCCACCTCCTTCAGCGACATCCAGGTACCCCTGGCAGGAACACACATGCTCGGCAAACAAAACACTGCAGGAGTGATGTAATGAATATCTGTCAAATCACCCAAGAACCCTCTAAGAGATTGTGCACTGCACAGTGAATTATGCAGTGACCTTGTGCTGATCCCTACGGTGTGTTGTGTTGTGCACAGACATTATTTTGGCAACTGAAGGGAGTGCTTTCCTGACTGCTTTACAAGTTTTTGCATTTAACAGTGAAGGCGTGTAATGTTTGTTCATACGTGCGCACAATGCAAGTTGGCACAGACTGACTTCTGTACTCAGTGTGCAGGTGCAGGCATGCAGAGGCACTGTGTGACTCACTGTGTGTGCATCTGCCACGGATGAGGCAAGCAAGTTTGGGCCATACTGACGTGCACATCCTGTTGGACCCCCACAACGCAAAACGCATAATGATATTTCCTAATGCGACGGGCTGTGCACTTGTGTAAATGGGCATGAGTGGACTTTCAAAGTATTTTCCATGTATCTCACACAGAGTAATTGGCATAAGTCAATTATTAATGCACAGTAAGAGTATCATGTGGGTTTATATTATATTTGACCAAAAAGCGAATATTGGAAATGCCAAAAGGCTTTTTAGCTGAGAATACAGCTGATGCATTTACCTGCTGCATGAGGATACTGTGACCTTTTTCTAAAGGTCAACGTCAACAGCACACCACATGTCAGGCATGGATAAAGTTAAAGACTGTACTTAACCATTTCTGTGTGGCTATTCTGGCTGTTTCAGTAACAGGACAAAAACATAGATATTGAATGAGTCTATTGAAAGCCCCATATTACTGAAATAACATTTTATCACGTTAAAATCTTGATGAATACCAATCATCACCACCATCGTCATCAGCCATTGTGCATCTGCTTGATGAAAGCCTCCTCATGTCACCATTCCTCATGGTCCAGTCCTGCTATCATACATATCTTGCTGCTGCACATGAACTGAAAATACCAAGAATGGGGTCGTTTTTTATCTGCATTTCCCTGAAGCATATATTTTCTGTACATGACCTTTCACATTGTATTTTTATTGCATTTACATACAAAATAAATGTCATATGTGCATCCTTATTGAATGCAGTTCTGCATTATGTATCTAGGGGGACGATAAGGATTATTTATTGAACACTTAGACCTATTATAAGGAGAAGGTTCAGTGTTATCAGCTGCTTCCAAGCCTCAGATGACCCCATTTTTCCCCATCCTAGACAGCCTGTATCTGTAAACAGATTGATCTGATAGAGCTGGATTACAAAATATGGTGTGCTGAAAGCAACACAGTATGGTGCACTTGTGATGTTTTATAATTTACTTCAGTGAATAACAGTTGTGAGTTTCCATAACACAGCATGTTGGTGTGTGCTTTTAAGCCTCTTAGCAATTGCAAGATTGATGCAAGTATTATAAATCGCGTTTATCTTCAGTTTGGTTTACGCTGGCCCAGTTGTAAATCGTGACTAAAAGTCAACCAATTAAAATTCAGTCTGGTTCCTTAAGACCCACATCTTAAGCTCAATTTAGAACAACATGGCAGTCAACCTTGGTTGGCTGATACTGACACACGGCCCATGATTCTTACAAGACTCAGCTGCAGCATGTCTGGTCTGTGTAGCGCACTTCTGTGAGCGGCATCTAACTTAGAATCCAACTGTGACGAAATGGACATTGAACTGCCCTTACCATGGCTCAACCAAATAGGTTACGGTACTTTTGCAAGCATGCTCTTGCAAGGTGCGAAGAGGCTTAGCGAGTTGATGTTGGCATGTGCACTTGGTGGCGGGGCACTAACGCAACTAATACGCTTGCTGTAGGCGGCATGCCTCGAGAACGGCAAGAAAGAGAAGCGTGTGAGCCGGCGGTGGAGAGCCAAGTCCTCCCTCAAAGATAACAAACCGCTGCTGCAGGTATCGCCGAGCCGCTGTGCTGCATCCCTGCTCGCGCGCGGTGCTCAGCTTTGGTGTCCATGGTGTTTCTGTAATAACGCGTGGTACCATTTTGTGTTAATATCGACGCACCGACCTGTTGCTGTGAAGCACACGCATAAGTGAGATGTCAATTTCACATGAAAACCCAACATTACAGTTGAACACCTTCGGTATAAAAATTGGGCAGCTTTGGATTGGCATTTATGCGCATGTTTCACTGGTAAATAGTATCCATATTTGACAACAGTGCTTAACATTGGATGTTTTTAACGATTTGGATATTCACATGGGATGCATTAACCAAAATGAGATCAAGCATGCCGAAGAGATTATTTCCCTTCATTTCATCCTACATTCAATTTGTAATCCAAACCGTATCATGTTATCTCATTGTATAGCAAGTAATGATGTGTGAGGTCTTTGCTCCCCTTTTAACGCAGTAGCCTTGTCTGCGTGATGCTCCTCATCAAATTGTACTGTATTAATCTTTGGGTGAAGGAGCATATATTTCCACGTCCATGAACACCGAGTATCCTTTGGCTTTCTCGCTACCAGGTTCCCAACAGCATGCCCACATCTCCGCTGCGATCCCACGCCTCCAACCCAAACCTGGCATCTGCGGGTTCAGACGCGGTCCTGGCCAACTACTCCACCAGCCTGTCAGACGGACTCAACATTTCACCCGAGCATGGGAGGCTTTGCCAGGACTTTTACTCCCTGGCACAGCGAGGTGCGTAAGATTATATTCCACACGGCCATGCAAAGTTTTAGATGTTGCTGGCTTATCAAGGCGCTCCCGCCTCATATCGTGTTTGAAAATTACTGCATGCAATTGCATGCTTAAGCAAAAACAACCGCTTATATTCATAATGTGCTCATAATGTAACAAACGTCTCAGACCTTGGAAATACAAAGGAGGGAATGGGAGGGAGGACTGAGCAAGGGAAGGAAAGAAATGACCCAATTTATGGATCTGAAAGAACGGATGAAGAGGAAAGTGTTGAGCACAGACTTGAAAGCAGAGAGGAGAGGACCTGGTGGAGTTGCCTATGGGGAGAATTTCAGAGGGTGGGGTCATAATAGCTTCCACCCATGGTGGAGCAGTAGATCTTGGGATCAAGCATTGTCATGCTCACTATCTATAGCTAAGTGTGCATTCACAGATTTGTCGGATTTGTTTGTTTCTCTTCCATCCCCGTGCAGTGCACACGAGTCTGTGCGCAGTGTACATGGCACTCAGCTCCGAGCGGGAGAAGGGGAAGAAGCTGGAGCAGGAGTCACTGGGAGCAGGCGCCGCTGTACACTTGATGACTCTGCGCAAGTCTCTCTCGCAGGTAAGGGACTCCACAGAACGACCTCTTGCACATTCACACCCCTCGTTCACAACTCGCTTTCCAGTGCTTAACTTACGCTTTCTCACACACTCACAACTCTCTTTACAGTGCAATGTGAGAGTTTGGGTTATCCATTGCAAAGCGAGAGCCCCAAGGTTTGTGGCTCTCTTACCTGTAAACATTTTAAGGGGATAGAAATCAAGCCATTAATTCACATCTTGCAACTGTATTCATAGGCGTTTGTCAACCTCTCATCACATTAGCAAATTATTTTAAATAAAGGCACCTAAATCATGAATGATTAAATAATGAGAGGCTATGCTAATTTGCTGAATAAATGTTTTTACATCAATGTGCTCTGCACATTTGCATGAAAATATGCTTGAAACAAAAGCAATAGTTTATATTGGGAGTTATTAGGTTATACGAACCATTCTAAAGTCAACGGTTTCACGTGATGCCCATCCACATAAAATAGTACAGCATAATGTCAGTGCCCACTGATACGTGACTGCCAAGATCGTTATTCATTCTATTCATGTAGTGCCAACGATAGAAGAATAGATATATAAAATATTAAATCAATTCAGACTAAAACAAGCTGGATTTTTTTTTGGCTACAGACAGGGGCTAGGAATACACTGTGTGTAGTGTAGCATGTGGAGCAGTGGCACGGTGGTTCAGTGCACTGCGCTATGAACCTGGTGACTTGATTCCCAGCCACGACGAACGTGAGTTACGAGTGATATCAGAACTGGTCTTGGGCCTGCCGTCTGTCGACGTAGCCTTTTAATGAATGCTGGATGCATTGTGCATACATCAGTCCTGGGGAAGCAGCCTTAAAAGGGGCAAACATTGGAGAATGACCACCGCATAGATGGAGCTCGGCTCATACACAGGAGCAAGATGGATTGTTCATTTACTGGACCACAAGGGATCATGACGACATGCCTTCATGCATAAGTGGATTTATAATGGCTGATGATATAGTGTATTTGTATCATGTATGTGTATTATATAGTGCATTTATATTCTATATTGTAGATAGTGTATAGTGTAAAAAGCTGCCCCCTTGTAATGTCACGTGCAACATCTGTTTAACGAAAATTGGCAAGGAATACATTTTCTATTCTGACACAAAAAACAATTTTAAAAAAGGTTAATTTACACAATGTGTAATTTCTGGACTATTTCAGACATAGAGTATTGACAATCGCCTATCAGTACACCGAGTAACGAACATATTAATAATTTATTCCAAGAATGGACATTAATCTGATCAACCTGGAGTTTGTGGCCTGGGTAATCCAAACTTAATTAACTTTACTGTGCTCAAGGAAGATACTCGTGCGCTGCTGTGCAGTGGCATGTGTTCATCTTTGGCACACACACTGTGCACACGCGCACACTGTGGTGCGTGGGTACGCAAGCAGCTGCGGTCATGCGCATACACGTCTGTGTCGTCCCATGTCGCCAGGCGGTAGCACTCAATGTGGAGCTGACGAACCGGTTGAGCAGAATTCACATCGAGTCCAACCTGAGTGAGCTCATAGCAGCTCCCGCTGGTGCAGAATTAGTGAGTGTTAAAAAATAGCGTAGACCATTACGTTTGCATGGAATTAAAACCTGCGTATGAACAGTGCATTTCTCAGTGAGCATGGAAATGCTTGTGCATTACTTGCAGTATATACCATCATGCACGGTATATACGCACGTGAATAATGTTAGTATGCGTTAACATTATTTGACTCTTGAATATTCAAAAATATTTAGAAACCGCTGATTTATTTCGGATAAACACGTCTGAACATGCTAGTCCATTACATGTTGGCTACACTGGAAAAAGTAACGCGTAACAGCTTATGGGCATTAACATGTGTTGAGAGGCATTAATCAAATACGCTGACTCAAATGACAGACAAGTGATGTGAAGTGCTATATGCAGCATGATTTATGCATATCGTGTTTCCGTGAACAAGAATCGCAGCACTTTTTTTATGACATCACCACTTGCTCTGCCTAACGCACATTCAAAGTCTGTTGCTCTTCATAATACTGCAACTTTAGTGGGACACTAAACACTAATGTTTACGAAACACTAATGTTTAGTACGCCTAGATTAAGCAGAATTATTTTTTTGTTTTATATTTTGGATGTTCAAGAGTCTCGCAATGTTACATGTTCCAATAAACTTACTGTTTCATTTGCATGATTTATTATCCAGCCATTCTCTATCCACTGCTAGATTGTATTCTCCATAATGATGCCCATTCTGCATTCCTGTGCAATTGTATTCCCTATCAGTCCTACATGTTACCCTGCTTTCATAGCCCTATATCCACTTTGGTCATCCCTTCATGACCATTCCCTGCTGCACTTTATACATGGTATCAAACGGTTGTATGTGCGTTTATACAGCATGTATAGAATGCAAGCGTATATATAGTATATACATGATTACATATTATACTGGACTGTTTTGAACAGGATATGAAAGATATACACACTTGCTCTTTCTATTTTCCTTATCAATGTAAGAACCACTTGCATCAATGAATGTATTTGTTGATTAAAAGCTTATAATAACCATAACATCTTGCTTTAAAATATTCTGAGTTATTCCTTCTCAAAACCTAACCGAACTCTTTGTGTGTGTTTTATTCAATAAATATTTTACCAAACTATCATATTTCTCATTTTTGGCCACTAATTGGTCATGTGCGAAATCACTGGCTGCATAGAGTGAGCATATCCTTATGCGTTAGAAACGGTACAACTGTCCGTGCTACATTAATCAGTGCTGTCGAATTTCACACCTATTGAACCAATTGCAACAAGTCATAACATTGTCAAGCACATGACTGAGTCCAATAAGACCTATCATTGAAGGAAGCCCCGCACTCAAGAATAAGTGTTGTTTGGATAAAGTTATTGCAAAACTGCATGGCAATCGCCAGTGTGCAGTAGCGTCCCATCATGGCTGTGTAACGCGACACTACGCACTCGTGTGGGTGTGGGCAACAGGCGACCGAGCGGCCGATGCTCGGGCGACCTCTCCTGGCCCAGCTGTCTGAGAGTCAGCTCTCCGTGTCAGAGGGCGAATTCTATGATGCCCAGGAGGTGCTGCGATCCTCAAGCTCATCAGAGGTGAGACAACTGGCTGCACACCTTCACCCCTTCATTCGGCAACTTCAGCTGGCGATAAAAGGTGCTACTACTGTCAAAAGGTTTTCATTTCATTCCAGGTGGAGAATTGACTCTACCCATCATCCCTCTGGGGTGTAAAATTGAGATACTTTGTGGAAAGTAAATAGCGGTTGAAGATTGGCTGAGTGCCGTCCAAGGTGATGAGTGCTGTCCAATGCACAGATCAATTGGCAAACACATTGAGAATACACTACTGTCAATGGTTCAACTTTTTCTGGCTAAATAACCTAGTATGAGTTTATTTGTGTGCACAATGCCACCAAATAAATACCCATTTTCTTACAGAGATCTCTGACTTGGTACTGGAATTTATTACAGCACCACTTTCAGATGCTGTAAAACATTTTAATTGTCTCATAGGGCACCACGGTGGTGAGATGTAAGCTACCTCGCCTGGTATACAGGAGGTCATGGGTTCGATACCGACCCTGATGGCTGTTGTACATTTGGAATTTGCATGTTCTCCCCATAGTCACGTGGTTTTTTCTCTGGGTTCGCCAGTTTTTCCCTCCACATTTAGAAACATCCGTTTAGAGTATTTGGCTGCTATACATTTTTACATGATAAGCCACTTTGTTCAGCTATTATTTGTGGCCTGGTCACTTCTGAAAAGAGCTTCATAGCTCAGTGTGCCTTTAATGGTAAAATATAAAATATTTTGAAATAGTTTTAGTTTATATTTGAAGTAGAAGTTAAGAGTCAATCATAAAATTACAAGTTAATTAAATACCATCACTATCAGGCTGACTGGTTATCCTAGTATCACTCCCATCACTCACCGCCCAAGCCCACCTTTCCTCTCCCGGTACACACATAAAACACCCTTCTCTGTTAACCTCAATATTTCCCAAAGGACAGCTGGCTAAAACATAAATATTTATTGTTCTCTGTAACAATAAAATCTTGTTTTTTAGAATACGTTCGCAGAAGCAGAAAATGTACACCTAAACTGTCAAGCATAACTGGATAGCAGTAATATTTTTCCTCTTGTCAAAAATGTCAAGTGTACACAGCTGTGAATCACTTATTCTTTTTTAATTTTGTTCTATTATTAGAACATTAATTGGGAGAATATAGTTGTTGCCCCTAAAGACTCGGTCGTCGTGTAATTGGGGCTGCCGATTCCCCAATGGTTGTTCGGAAACCCAATTCAATGTGCACTGTGTCCTCCAAAGGCTACGGACGATGACGATTCGAGCATAAGTGATGACGTCAGCGACACGATCTCGGAGGACACAGGCAGCCGAGCCAGCTTCAAGTCTCAGCAGAGCAACGGTGCGTTCACGTGTGCACAACCTCGCCCCTGCCGTAACCTCGCTCACACCTCGCTCACACCTCGATTGCTTACAGTCTGCGGAGGCTGCTGCGGTGATTTACGCTCATGCACACACTTATAAAAAATATTCTGATGGGAGTCCATCTGGCAAACTGGAGCATACTTGGACATTTGTATGGTATGTTGGCTTTTGTATAGCCATGCATGGAGTGGAAAGGAATAAAAGTATGATGTAAGAAAGAATATGATTTTTTATTTAAAGCTTTCGTGACTGCAGTGATTCATATTCTTGGTTCTTTCGGTAAAGTCACGTTGAAGGGAAACAATAAAATAATAAAATATATATGAAACAATAAAATTCTCACGACGTTTCGACTGCAACACCTGATGATGACTTTACCGAAAGAACCAAGAATATAAAGAATATGATGTAAGACATTCATATTCTGTTTTTTTTAACCATTGCTGCCAAGCAGCATCCATGGATATCTGCTGCATACAGTGGATATTTTTACTGTGCTTTGCAGGAAACTGGTCATGCTTACCCTCTGCATCCACTTTGTGAAATACCTTCGTGTTAATAGATGTTTCAGATGAGATGTTATGTAAGGTGCTCCGAGACGCCCCGGCATATAGGACGCTTTCTGTAAAACTAATGATTGTTATAATTTATAATGGTTTCATAAAATTTTGAAATAACGTTTATAACAATAGTAACAGTAGGGTTTTTACAACACTGATAATCATTGTATACAAGAAGGAAAGTATTCATTGGCAGTGGGCTGGTCTATGACAAGCTAAAAAGCTGTGTTTAGAAAAATACAAGAAAGTTTGTGTCTTAATAAAGCATAAAAATTTCCTTACGTAAAGATAATAAATGTATACACCTCCAGGCTACTAGCGAAGGCAACTGCAGCAGTGTGTGGCTCTGGTATTGATAAATGCTTAATCTTTTACGTGACACACGGCAGCCTTGCTTTTATATGTAATGATGGGTCTAACAAGGTAACAGCTTTATAAGCACCCAACATTCCTTACGTGTGTTGTGTTTATATGCAGCTCCGAGCAATCCAGAGACATTTGATGGCAACCGCGAGTTTCAGACAGGACGCCGCATGCACCTGCCCGCCCCCGCGGCTGACACCAGCAGCATTGGCCTCTGGGACATCCTGCGCAAGAACATTGGCAAGGACCTCTCCAAAGTGGCCATGCCCGTAGAGCTCAACGAGCCATTAAATGTGCTGCAGAGGCTGTGCGAGGAGATGGAATACAGCGATCTACTGGACCGCGCTGCAGATACTGACGACCCAGCCCAGCGCATGGTACCTGCTTGTGCTTGCGATGCATACTTAGTGATCGTGCTTGTGCATGTAAGGCACGATTTGCTATTTTATGCTGGAACAACCTTGAATAGTTCCCAAAATTTAAAGCAACAAATCACTTTCTGTATTGTTATTATTATCAACAAGGAAGTGTTGAAGGCCCGGGCATCTGTTTATTACAGACGGAAAGGTCAGTATAGCTCTCATAAATTATAAACCGAGTGCATGTTCAAGCACAACACAGGAAGCGGTTGCTCTTTTTACTATAAAATGGGCCATCCTGGTATATTAGAAAAGTTTTCTAAAATATATATCATACGGGATATGTGTGCGTGCACCCTGTAAAATTTACAAGGCATAAGACACTACTGCATGAACAGTAATGAATATAACTGGTATGCATCTTTAACATTTAAAGAACACTCATGTGATTTGAATTCATGGACAGCAGATCTCACTAATGACGCATTTCCAACACGCCTCAATACATCACATCCCTGATTTGTTTTGCCGTAATGCAGTTATCACTCCGTTATGCTAGCCATATGATGTAGCAAATCTCAACTTTGCTTACACAGGTGTTGGTGGCAACCTTTGCCGTGTCCACCTATGCCTCCACCATCTCCCGCGCTGGAGGAAAACCGTTCAACCCTGTGCTCGGCGAGACATACGAGTGCATTAGAGAGGACCGCGGCTTCCGCTTCATCGCAGAGCAGGTGCAAAAGAGATCGTTACGTTGCGACAGCCATGCGCATGGATCCGCATGGATCGTTAGAGGACACAATAGAATAAAAGGCCAGATGAGCCATTAAGATAAACATATTTGGGCAAAGGTACACCAACAAAGGGTACTTGGCAGTATATGTTAGCAAACAAAAATGTATAGAATGCAAGTATAGTTACTTCCAAGTGATATTTTTTCTTGTGTAAAAAATTCTCATAGAGGAATGTTTCTTTAAGAAATTCTAGTGAATGCATTTCAACTACAAATGTTTTTTTACATTCGTTTTTCGAATTGTACTGGTTACATTTTTTTTAAATGGTGAATCCAGTATGTATATTCAACTTATTTTGTACCGTATGTAGCCAACCGTGCTAATCGCAGGTGTGGTCATATAAAAAACAGTGCAGAGTGATAAAATATGATAACATTAATTGTATCTTTTCTAGCACTTACATGCTGTCTAATTATATTTTGTGTAGTATCCCTCTCACAGTCATGCAGTCTGAATTTTACTCCGCACAGTTTGTGTTTTTTATCCATATATCAGATCAAGACATTACATTAATTTAATTGTGCTAACAGTAAGTTGCATGCTTTGATCAGCAGAATTTGAATCATGCTGTTTTCCCTGTTCCTGGTCTATCTTTCTAGGTCAGCCACCACCCTCCAATTTCTGTCTGCCATTGCGATTCAAAAAAATTTGTCCTCTGGCAAGGTGAGTTGTGGAATTGGATTTGTAGTTCAGCTGATTGGCTTGGCATCCTGTACAAAGCTGTTAAAGCTATGAGGTTTCTCACCTCAAGTTAATTCCTTTATTCGTATTGCAACAAAACTGTTTCTTTTTTGTGTGTAGGTATATTTACATAATATACGAATTCTGCAATACAAGTTGGTCGTTGTTATAACAATTGTTGAGGACAAATCCATTTATAATGAAAGCTCTATATTTAGCTGAATATCCTGTTAATTAAACTGTCTTAGTATTGTGATAACATTAAGCTGTCCATTGTTCCTTTTTTATAAATTAACAGAACACAGTTTTGTAAGGAAACCTTTGTATATAGAGAAAATACATTTCCATGCCATCTCCTTGTAATGGTAATTAACGTTTTAAAATCACTTAAATATTGAACTAAGAGTCAGCTGCTGAATGATGGGAAAACCCCTTGAAGAACGTGCAATGAAATGTAAAAAAAATGTTCAAACCCTTAAGAGCCAGCGTTTACATTTTCCAGCATTTGTAATCATATTTTATTCGATGGGAAATAATGGAAACATAGCATGCATAAGTGAACAGGAGAGATGTGATTTGTGACAATGTTTGCACGCAGATGTGCGTCTGAAGAACAAGTTCTGGGGAAAGTCGATGGAAATTATCCCTGTGGGCACAGTGAATGTCAAGTTGCTCAAGTGAGTGTTATTGCCACTTCCTGCTGAACAACCTTCACAAAACAATGACTTCTTGTTGCTCATTAACTCGCAGAATGACAGATGCTAAGCATGAGAAGAACGTTATATTGTTTGTAGATTTCTTACTGTTTCGGTGCTCTTCCAATACTTGGGCATGCCATCCTAGGTATGGAGATGAATACGAGTGGAACAAAGTGACCTCCTGCATCCACAACATTATGGGAGGCCAGCGCTGGATCGAGCACTACGGAGAAGTTATCATCAAGAACAAGAAGAGCAATGTGTGCCAGTGCAAGATCAACTTCATCAAGGTACCTTGATTGAAAGGGTGACAACTACCCTTATCTGGCTGCCTAGTCACAGCACTCATTACTAACGCAATCAAAGCGGCCGACTCAACGTGGTTCTCCGCCCTGGTCTAGGCAAGTTACTGGAGCTCGGAGGCAAACCAGGTTCAAGGCACCGTGATGGATCAAAACGGCCGTGTGCTGCACCGCCTCTTTGGCAAATGGAACGAGGGGATGTACTGTGGTGCTCAGCGCTCAGCACGCTGCATCTGGAGGCCAGGTAAACATCACATTGTACAACTGGTGAGTCCCAATTAGGATGAAACTGGTCCACATATATATTGAGCTAAGAGTCGAAACTGCCATTGCATCGCTGTTGCTGTCAGTTGGTCACATTACTAAGTTATTTTGATGGTGATGAAAGACAAGAGGATCACAATGCATATCTTCTGAAAAAGGATGTTTTTGTGTATAATACACAAAGGCTGAGTGCTTTTTACACCTTTTGTGTCTTGCTTTAATTTAATAAGAAAATTGTGGGGATGGGGTTTGTGCTTGCAGAGGACATAGGGATACAGTATATACGTCACTAAAATACATACATTACCCCTACAAGAGACAAAAAATGGCTAGCATTGCATTATATTTATGGAAGTGGTAGCTTCTGACAAAAACATTTTCATAAACATTTTTTTCATTTTCACCTTTCCAGAAAAAAAAAACATCCAACAGCCCCATCACTCTCATTCTGACATAAATGATTCCACTCCAGTTGAAAGCACATTGACGCCAACGCCTCCCCTATCATTCACTGAAATAACCTTGACTACCACTGCACTAAATGCATCCACCAATGCCCCCAGGCTCCCTGCCCCAGGATCACGAGCTCTACTACGGATTCACGCGTTTCGCCATCGAACTCAACGAGCTCGACCCTGTGCTGCGGCCACACCTTCCTCCCACGGACACACGTTTCCGACCTGACCAGAGGCAAGTCTCATTCTTTCTCCTGACAAACTTAATTCGGCGACCCGCAGTTCACGGATGCAGATAAACAAGATGCGCTGTTTTATGGCCATAAATGTATAAAGGCGTGCCATAAAAAAACGTGTTTTCCTTCCCATGCTAATCCTCCAGCATTGGGCTTATGGTTTTGTTCACCTGAGCATGCCAACTTGTATTTCAAATGTGTCAACAGATTCCTGGAGGAGGGCAATATGGAGTCTGCCCAGCGGGAAAAGCTGCGCATCGAGGAGTTCCAGCGGGAAAAGCGCCGCCTCATGGAGGACAAGAACATACTTTACACACCACGCTTCTTCAGGTGTGCCCCACATCCCTTCCACGACAGTGTCAAATACCACTCTGCATTGTTCTGATGTATTTTGACAAAACTGAGCTGTGTGTTTAATAGAGCTTTGCTAAAATGTATTACTTTCTCATACACCTATAAGCAAGCATTTTGGTATGGTATATTTTATGTTAGGGGGAGTTTGATGGATGATGCAGGCAATTACTATTGAAAGAGGCTCTGATGTGATCACACATTACATTTGTCTTGTAATTAAAAGCAACAAGACAACTGCTGAGTCAAAGAAAACCACAGAAGAATAAATGCACTCAAAGCTTTCGAGTAAAAAAATGTGACAACCAAACAAATCTACATCATATGTTTTAGAATTTCTTGAAATATTGATCACACACTGAGCTTTGTTTGATGTCTCTTGATTGTTTTTGCAGAAAAAATATTACACAGGACAGCCGGGAGGAATGGCTGATGAACAACACGTACTGGGAGCTCAGAAAAGATCCAGGATTCAGCAAAATAGACAATCCTATCCTCTGGTGACGCAGCACAAGGAGAACATAGTGAAGCCTAGGCTTTATCGAGCTGCATTTTACTATGTTATCCTTGACATCCAAAGTGCAACTTTACTTCTAGGCATATTTTTTGCGATGGGGGAATAAATATGCAATTATCTGGTCCCAAATATGCATGAGTGTGTTACTGAAGATGGATGAAAATATTTGGTGATTTTAACAAAGGTCTCAATATTCCCTACCCTAAACCTAACACAGACTGTAAGAGCGTGTAACCAATCATTTGAAACGGTGGGGATAGTCTAAAGCGAGTAGGTTGTGGTTTTCTGGATTAACAATATAATGCAATGTAGAATTATGTAATGACATTATTGCAGTGTCATGGGGTTATCGGCATACTGCAAGTGATATGTTGAGTAAAAATGTATTCAAAAGCCAAATAGACACCAAATATTCTTGGGTCTTTCGGTAAAGTCACGTAGATAGGTTCAAAGAAAATCATCAAAAATAAAACTACGACTTTTCGATCGCCCCCCCCCCCCCCTTTTCCTGAAGACGACCGCTTCCGTTGCGATCAAAACATCGTAGTTTTCTGTTATTTTAAAATTATTTTCTTTGAACCTATCTACTTGACTTTACCAAAAGACCCAAGAATATGAATTCTTGTAAGTCACGGAAGCTTTAAGTCAAGAGACACCAAATAATTTCATTTTTTGTTTTCTCGGCAGAAGGGCTTGAGGTAAAGCACAAATGTTTCAGTTACTTTAACCATGTTCCAAAATGTCATATGCCCACTCCTGGAATAAGATATGCATATGCTGTATTTATATTTAATCTAACATATTAAATCAGTCTTTGTTTGAAATCGTCTTAAATATATATGGGGAAGTCTCTTTTTTTCTGGGCCTGTGTAATTTACATTATCTAAAGTATACATGGTACAAACAGGTAACATACATCCTAGATGTGACTACTTGCCTGTACTGTCAAAATTATTATAGAGAATTGTATATCTAGTAAACGCCCAAGCACTTGCTTGCAAGAATTTGTTTTCAGCAGCTATTTATATTTAGAACCTGTAAGTGGTGTATTGGCATTCAATAAAACGGTTGTGGGATAATAATGCATATGCTAAACAAGCAGATATTTTGCAGTTATAGGAACAATACTAATTGGAACTATTCTTAACACAGGTTACAGGTACCTGTACTTGCCTGGAAACACTATACTGTATTGTTTGAAGCAAACAACGTCATGGTTACAGTCCATGTTCAAGGTAGAAAAAAGATCAAGTCTCAATGGATATTGACCATGAACAATTGTATAAACCCCATGAAGATCCTGCTCACGATGTGTCCCACAAAGTGATTTTTCCCCTGTGGTATTCGCTAAATATACATGGTGAAACATAAAACCTACCTACGGCTGTAAAATTTTGTAAAGTGTTTATTGCATTTACAAATCAACCTTATGGCGGCACCCTGGGGCCCCATAAGCCCCCGGCTCTCGCATAAACTGCGTTGCAGCGTCATTTTATGTATGTTGAAGGCGAACGATACGGCGATCTATTCCTCTCGACGAGCTCTACACGATGCGCTAATCAAAGTTTTAAAATGTTTCTTCTGCGCATTCGTCCTCGCTGCGCTTGGACGACATGACAACAGAATGACCCGTGCCAGGTGGGTCGCGGCGTTTATGTGCGCGGTGGGACGGAGTCGCCAAAAATGAATTACGATTTTGACTTCCGTTTATTCGGGACCCCGGGGTCCCGCCATAAGGTTCAAATTATAAATTTTCACTCAACTAAAAACACCTGTTTCTCTGATGAACGTATGCTGGTGGTACCGAGCCAGTGGTGGGAATTCCGCATTGTTACATTAACCAGATTTTCCAGAGGACAACGAAAATGAATATTCCACAAAGTGGCACTCTTTGTATCAACCCTAAAAGGGATAGGTTAAAAGAGAACAGAACTTGCAACAATCCATCTTATTGCAAGTGCAAGGCATTAAATGTTACTAACTTTAAGGACATTTACTTTACAAACACAGCATACTTGAAATAGTTACTGCCAGACCTATGACAATGTTCTTGCCATGCGTTTCATATGTAAATAGAACCACGGGTGTGGTTGTATATACAGTATTTAACTCTATGCTGTAGATCTTAGGATTCATGTGTATATGATATTTGGCTGTGCCTTTCTTAAGTGCAATCTTTGGGCTGTTTACAGTAAAGTACATAATAAAAACTCCTGCAACTTATCATTCTCTTGAATTTGTTTTTTCAATGAATCTGAAAAACAAATTCCTCAACTATAGCAGCATTTGTATATTCAAAATAGCCATAACCCTGTCAACAATTCAGTTCAGTGTAATTGCGTGATTCTTCAAAATTATTTTGGGTATACCATATGTAGTGTTTACATTTGTAATACTACCATTTTAAAAATGTATTTCCAATAATTGGGATTGCAGCACTGGTGCACTTCCGAGTTCGTTTTGGGTTCCTGGCCAGCATCAGTGGCGAGTAATATATTAACTTGTTCTGGGCACGCCCTTCATTAACCCATACTGAGAAGCCTGGTGACGTATGGTCATACAATCTCCATCGTCAGACATTAACACAATTTATATTTCGAACCCAAGATGGGTAAACTGCTTTCCAACCTTGTAATGGCTTGTAATAGAAGTACAAACATGCACTCTTTAGTCCCTTACAAAATTAAGTCCAAACTTGCCAAAAATATGGTAATGGTATCACGTATTGCTTTATATTGTAAAAAAAAGATTCCATGAAATCCGTAATGTAAGTCTGTCATTCTCCCATTCAGAGAAATTACTAAACCACTTAATTAAGTTGATTAAGACCTCAATAAATGAGTACAAAAACATTCCTGCGGAGGGAGCTGGTAGGAACGTTGGGTTGCTCGGTCAATGGCGGCGTGGTGTATTCCGCAAATATGCCCGACTGAGGGTGGGCACAAGCTGGCGTGAGTAGGTTAAACGTTGAGTTTTATAAGGGCACCACGGGGTGACCAGCCCCTCCCACCCAGCCTCACCTCCTCCCTCCCCACCCACCCAGCCCCTCTCCACCCAGCCCCACCCCTCCCATTTTTGGATGCACGACGGACGGACACAATAATCCCCTGTGGGCTGGTGTAACAAGGAGGTTCCTACCAGTAAAAGATTTCCATTGTGAGGATTGCATGTTTGGACAGCGCTTGTGTCGAAATGAGGCATTAAGAATATTAAAACGATACCTTACACTTAACACGTACATGAATTGTAAAACCATAACTTAGGAAGGCACATGCAAATAGAACAAGTGATATACACATTCACTGGACAGATGCAGGTCAAAGGAATGAAAGTAAAAGTTTATTGAACATTTTCTATTCGTGCCATTTGAGATATAATTTCACTTGAGCATTCACGTTTAGCAGCATTCCTGGTGTTAAACACCAACATAAGAACTAATATAAAATCTAATACTATATTAAAAAAATAACTCATTGGCAGAAAATGAGGAACATAATTTAGTGTCAATTGTTATGAACAGCAATGCTTTATGAACATTTTCACTTGGTTTCAAAAACGATATGCACGTGCTCGAGGTAGTCACCATGGGTGCATGTAATCGATGCCATCAAGTTACTGTAAGGTAACTTGTCAGCCTCTGTCTGCTCTATCTACAACTCTTGAGACCATGACTTTGTATGCTACTATGATTTTTACCGACGACATTACTATGTTGCCACCACTCGTTTCACTACTGCTTGCGACCAGCCATGAGCTTGAGATACTGCAGGGCGCTATAAGCTGCTTTAGCATGGGCATCACCAAGAAGATTTCCAGAGCCATGACACACAGCCACTGGTTGAGTGGAGAGCTCCACCAAGCACTGACACCTTCCACTCCGGCTCATGTCTGGACATGTCGGGAAGGCAGCAAGTGGGAAGAAGACATGTGCACATACTTTTTTTTATATGTGTATATATAAAAGGCTCACGAGCCTGATTTATATACTATCAATAACAATATTTACCCATGCTTTAGTATAAACCAATGTTATTAGCAGCAATTGCACTTTGCAAGGGTTCACACTGAACTGTGCCTAACTCACCCAGATCAAAGTACGTGATGTGGAATCGCTGCTCATGGGCAAGCTCCTGAAGCAGCTTGCAGTAGCCTTCACCCAGCGCGTCTAATGGAACCTTCTTCAGGTAACCGATTTTCTCCCCAGCAGAGTTTCTCAGCGAGTCCCAGGTGCAGCCCTGAGTGACCTTGCCCCGTGAGCCACACGCCTGCAGCAACATGGCAACATCTCTCAACACCCACTCATCGACTTTACTGCAACCCAACAGTAATGCCAATAGTATAATAAAACTGGATAAATGTAACTTGTTTTTTTTACTGGGTAAGTGGGAACTACGAAAAATACATTGCATTAAAACTCCCCTTTTGACAAGCTTTGCAAAAAAAATATCACCTGTTATAGACTATAAAGGATTTTCACACCATAAAAGTGCCCTTACAATAGCGTGGCAGCAGCACTTGCACGTTCTAAGGTTTAATCCTTGTTCTCAACACAAGGTTGTAGCTTTGTTACAAACGCAACAAAACGTGTAAATGCATGCACTGCATTGGTGAGGTAGAAAAGCACAGCAAGTTTGTAAATCCCTCCCCAGCTACATGAAGTTACAATAGACTAATGTATAATCCATATTAGACAATGGCAACAAGTTCAAAATTCAAATGGGACTGCATCCTTGTTCCGATTAAGCATAAAACTATATGGTGAGTGCACAAATAAAATACATTCATTATTTTTTTTACTGTCTTAAATGTAAATATATAGTAGGCAAGTTTCAGGTAATTATTTTTTTTCAGTGCATGAAACAGAAAAAATAAATGCAATGTCTTTCAAGTCATTTTGAAGATGTAGATGACAAACCTGTATCATCTCTTCTAGGCATGTGTGCACTTGTGGTAAGACTTATCCCTCAAATGTGTAAAAAATAACCCAAGCCCATTCTACCTTGACTGATGATGGACGCTTGTGTTGCGCCCGAAACGTGATTTATTTTCTACCTATGTGACTTTACCGAAAGAACCAAAGATTATGGATTCCTGCAGTCACAAAAGCTTCAAATCAAGACTAAAAGAACCGTTTTGCAAATCAGTCAAGCCAGAGCCATGACTCCACCTGTGCTGATGCTTATACATCTGAGAATAAGACCATGGGACAGAACTCCTGCTACGACATTTACTCAGAGATCCCATACAAAATGTAATGTCTTCTGTTATTGAAATACAAGATATAAAAACATAGCAGGAACTTACGGTACAACTGTGGGTAACACAATAAACAAGGAAAAGCCATTTCTGCAATCAAAACGCTTGTAAAATGAAAATTAGTATTGTTAGAATTGTCACTCAGCATTGTTGTGATGTATATTTGTTTAAAAGTAAAAACATGTGTAAGCCTATTGAATTTAACAAGTGCTCCAGTAGAGACTGAATCTTTTAGCATGATTTAAAACCTATTTTTATTGTGTCAATACATATTTTATGCCAGTATAAAAAAGACAAAAGCAATGTTTTCAATTTCCATTGGTTGAAAATACATGTCATTAATAAAATTACAAATATAACATGTTTGGTTTAATTTTGTTTTTAAACCAGGCTTTAATATTACAAAGATTTAAATAGTGTGGGTTTTATGTCACATAATATGCTTCAGTTTGTCAATCATACTGTATTAGTGTGTATTCCCCAAATGTTGGCCCCTTCGGGGGTCAATGAGCATAATTTATTGGCATTACAGAAGTGGTTGTCCTACTGAAAGCCTGCCCACTTCCATAGGATTGTAGATTGTAGTACAGGTGCCTCTGTAGATGTGTAGGCTTTGACTTTAACATAACTATTTCTATGACCAGTCACAAGCTAATCCCTCAGTTATTTCAATGCTAAATTCTCCTGTTTGATTTGTACTAGGTGCCTCTGTGGATGTGTATGCTTTGAGTTTAACATAGCCATTTCTGTGACCAGTCACAAACTAATCACTCAGCTATTTCAATGCTAAATTCTATGCTAATTCCTTTGTCAAGGCGCTTTGTTTCTTCTCACACAGCTTAAAGGTCGCGGTCTGAGCTTGGCTGTGTTCGCTCCAGCGCTGTCCTCCAGACAGTCTCGTCCCTTCACCTGATGAAGGCCGCTTGTGTTGTGGCCGAAACGTCGTGAGAATTTTATTGTGTTATTTTATTTTATCAATTTATTATTTTATTCTCATTCTACGTGACTTTACCGAAAAAACCAAAGAAGATGAATCCTTGCAGTCACGAAAGCTTTAAATCGAAACCTATTTGTTGCTAGAAAAAAGGGGAAAACCTATTCTTTTACCATGTCATTAACTGTAAATATTGCGTTTTAAAATGCCTTTAATATACATATACATTAGTTTCCAAAGTTATGTAGGAACCTTATCATTTTGGATGTAAGTCAATGGATTTTTAAAACAGTTTCATTTTCATGCCACGCAATAATATTTGTAGTATTTTGATACCTAACCCCACAACCTCAAACATGCTCAGCTGCTAACCAGTGGAGCATGGTCTCCATCGTCACATTCAGCTTCCGCAGCCTCCCGCCTTTCCGGGACCAGGTCCCGGATCCGTGTCAGCATCTGCGCTGCAGCATTCCTTTTGGCCAACTTCTTTGAAGTTCCACTGCCTGAGCACACCATCAATCAAAATAAACATCAGACAACTATTATAGTAGTGGTACCACAATTTTAACATATTCAACCAAAACATTTTTACAGAATATGTATTGGATTATTGTACGTTTGAATGATAGCTTTATATTTATTTCACTGTAAATTATCACTTGCATTATTTTAAAACACATATCTTGGGACCCACCTGTTTCTATGAAGCTTTCCACCCGGCAGGTCATTGTAAATTCCTTCCTGTGTGCGGGGCCAGATTCGTGAGTTACCGTGTACTCCGGGAGACGCCAACCTTTCAGCACCACCAGCTCCTACAATCAGACAGGCGGCACTTTACTTTACAGTGCTTGTACACAGTATGCAGGATTAAAAAATAATTCCAAAGTTATTGCACAAAATTTTTTAAGTATAAAGCAATAAATAATGGATACTGAAGTTGTCTGCCAGCAAGATCCAAAATCTACAAAAGGAACTTGTTTGCAATTCTAAAGAGAATTTTTCTATAAACTCACTTTATATCCTCATCAAACATTGGTAAAGTGTTAATTACATGCCAGGAAATATTAAAACAGACCTGTAATGCACCAACAGGGTTGTTGTCTGAGTTTGGCTGAGATGGCAAAGAACTTCCATTTTCAACGTGAACCAGACTGCAGGATGAGATTAATTTAAATACAATTATGATCAATAAACAACCACATTTACCACAAAAATAACAATAACCGAAAATACGCCAATACTCAATATTATTCACCTGTTACCGTTGTCACATGAAGCAGCGTCTCCCTGCATTGATTCACATTTCAGGATGTTCAGGGCAGCTTCAGCTGCTTTATGCTTGGCTGCCTTCTTGCTTGGTCCCTGTCCTAATGAGAAATAATGTTAATGACAATACACCCACAAAACTGAAGGAATGCAAAATACAAAATAAATATTGGAATATATAAATGCTAATCGCAGAGGTATAAAACTTTTTGCACATATCCAAAATAGCACATTCACCAAAATACTCACCAATGCAGCTCACGTCACCAACGGAAACCCTGAAGGTAAAGTTTGGCTGATGTGCCTGACCCTCAGCCTTCAGTAAATCATACACAGGGGTTTTTCCGATCCTGGTTCCGTACTCTTGCAGCAAACTGATCGGAGTCTTTCCAGGTCCACCAGACACTCCCAAGTCAGTGCTTTTTTATATGAAAGAAAAATGTACAGAAATAGATAAATGTACAGAAAACCAGACATTAGCAACATCAATTAAAAGTGATTACATCAAATGTTTGTTGAAATTGAGTTTACTGTTTAACAAAAAATACATGTATTGTATGCATAATGATATCAAGGCATGCATAATGTGTGTGGTTGAGGTTATGATAAGGTGGAGCCAGAGGGATAGATATCAGGGATGTTTGTGTGGGGGGGTAGGGGGAACCGGGCGCGGCTGCAGAGAGGAAGCACAGGACACACAATGTAGACCTCGTGTAAATACAAATTAAAGCTGGAAGTGACCAACTCTCCTGGCGTGCCTTCATTTTACCATCATCTACAGCGCCATACGTTACAGCATCCCTAACTCTAGACTTTTATCATAATTTCCCCTAACACTAACTTAACTCTCAACCCTTAGCCACAACCTGAATTTCACAAAAACCCTACTATATACATGTAACCCTAACCCCGATAGTTTACTCTAAATTAACTAATCTAACTCTACCCCGAACCGCACATCTAACCAGAGCCTATCCTAAACCCCAGCCTTATCGCAAATCTAACCGCATCCCTTATCTAACCCAAACCATGAAGATAACCAATTGCCCATAGCTAGCTATACGCCCAATGTAACCTTAGCCCTCATATAACCACAACGCTAATCTACCCCTAAACTACCTCTACCCGAATATAAGATTATTATCCTAAATATAATCCTAAAACCCCCTAACCCTCATCTACACGTACCCATAAACTACTTCTACCTGTAATAAAACCCTACCTGTAACCTAACAGTCCACCTGTTTAACTCTACCCATAACGTTAACTCAGCCGCTAACAGAACCCTACCAGTAAACTACCTCTGCACCTATTCTAATCCTACACCTAGTCATAGTCCTTACACATAGTCATAGTCCTTACAACTAGTAATAGTCCTTACACATATTCATAGTCCTTACACCTAGTCATAGTCCTTACACACAGTCAGTCCTTACACCAAGTCATAGTCCTTACACCTAGTCATAGTCCTTACACCTAGTCATAGTCCTTACACCTAGTCATAGTCCTTACATCTAGTCATAGTCCTTACACCTAGTCATAGTCCTTACACATAGTCATAGTCCTTACACATAGTCATAGTCCTTACACCTAGTCATAGTCCTTACACATAGTCATAGTCCTTACACCAAGTCCTAGTCCTTACACCAAGTCATAGTCCTTACACCTAGTCATAGTCCTTACACCAAGTCATAGTCCTTACACATAGTCATAGTCCTTACACCTAGTTATAGTCCTTACACCTAGTTATAGTCCTTACACATAGTCATAGTCCTTACACCAAGTCATAGTCCTTACACCTAGTCATAGTCCTTACACCTAGTCATAGTCCTTACACCTAGTCATAGTCCTTACATCTAGTCATAGTCCTTACACCTAGTCATAGTCCTTACACATAGTCATAGTCCTTACACATAGTCATAGTCCTTACACCTAGTCATAGTCCTTACACATAGTCATAGTCCTTACACCAAGTCCTAGTCCTTACACCAAGTCATAGTCCTTACACCTAGTCATAGTCCTTACACCAAGTCATAGTCCTTACACATAGTCATAGTCCTTACACCTAGTTATAGTCCTTACACCTAGTTATAGTCCTTACACATAGTCATAGTCCTTACACCAAGTCATAGTTCTTACACCTAGTCATAGTCCTTACACCTAGTTATAGTCCTTACACATAGTCCTTACACATAGTCATAGTCCTTACACATAGTCCTTACACATAGTCATAGTCCTTACATAGTCATAGTCCTTACACCTACACAGTGCCCCTACCCCCCTCCCCAAGTCTGCCCCTGACCAGGACGCGCCCAGGTTCGACGCAGGCCCCGGGCCTCGCGGCTCCGCGCCGTGCCCGCGGTTGGGGGTCACCTGGCGCCGCTATCGTCGGCGGTCCTGGGCTCGGAGCTCTGCTCGCCGTCTTCGTCGTCGTCTCCGTCGTTTCCCCTGTCGTTCTCGTTCCTTTCGTCGCTCTCGTTCCTTTCGTCGCTCTTCGCCTCCCCTCGCTCGTGGACCTCGTCCCCGTGCTCACTCATTGTTGCGCCGACTGGAGCCGAGCACAGTGCGCGACGGCGGCCGAGAAGGGGACCCACGGCCCGCGAGAAACGCGATTTGTAAATGGAGACTTTAAGGAGACGCTCGTCTCCTTCGCATTTCGTGTCTTTCTCTCTCCACGTGGACAGCTAATTTTTATATATATTAAAAAAGTGTTTCTTTAGACAGCTCCATCGTCGCACCCCCCTCCCCATGGTCCTTCCCGAGAGCGCATACTTTTAAAAGAGTTGGCTCAGTACAAGCAAAACTGTGAACCGGTTTTCGATGCCCAATGTCTCATCAGCAGTTCAAAGCCTGAAGCAAGTGTTGGTGAACTACCAAGATGTAGCTGGAGGCAAGGGGGGCCCACCCCTCTCTTTAACAAGTTTAATATATAGGTACTCATTCGGAGCAAAAATTATATCACGCATGAATCGAAGGAATAATAATTTTAAATATATATGAAGAAAAAATATAGGGAAGTAACATTTATCTGCGTTTCTATGTTGCTTGTATTCTCCACGACGACGTGAATGTTTATTGTGAGTTTTAAACCGAGGGATAATATCATTAGTAGCCCCTTGCGGCGATAATGAAGACTGCTTCGTGACCTTATTAAGAACCACCGTCTCGTACTCAAATACATCGCGGCTCTTAAAACGCAACTTTTTTAACCCCCGCAAAAAAACCGGCTCTTCTTATTTTAGTTTCGCCTACCCCTGTTTTGGTACACAGTGCCAAAAAAAAACCACGTCAAAGCGGCCAGCAACGAACAGCGCCGTTGTCGAAGTGTAAAAGAGGCACGACCGTGAGAGTGCCAGCAACACGTTTCGTACAAAATGATGACCCCACGGTCAAGAATAAAGAGGGGAAAGAAACCCCCGCCGAGGGATGGAACGCGTCCGAGTGTTGTACGTCTCCCCCGGGGGGGGAGGTGGGAGCGGTGACATCGGCTGCTGGTGCGGGTTGCTATCCGGTGGTTCGTTTGCGACTTATCTCGAGGGGTCACCACCCCCGATCAGTGGCCAACACCAAATCGCACGAACACCAAATCGCACGAACACCAAATCGCACGAACACGGGCCATTCGTCGCATCGCGCGCATTTAAGATGCGCTTCCTGCGGCCGTCTGGAACGCTCTGCACCTGGAGCTAGCCACTTTTAAAATCGCCTTGATCCAAAACTCATTTGGTTTCGAACCGATTTTTGCGTTTAGCGGGTTGGCCTTCGCTGCCGCACCTCCGATTGGTCACGTACGGTGCGAAAGAAGACCAACATATACATACAGAGACGGCTTTGGCCAGGAGGCCTTCATCCAGCAGTTATCTCTGACCCGATTATCCATACCTCCCTGCCTGCTCATTGATCATCAGCAGTGGCGGCTCGTGACATTTCCACTAGGGGCTGTTGTGAGTGACCTGAAAATATGTTCTAATTTAAAAAAAACATTGTCATGTTGTTATTGGCCTTCCCGTGAAAGTGATATAACTGGCTTATCTACCAACGGTAGATATTTATAAACAATACGAAACAAAACAACAAAGCACTCCGCACGCTGTCCCCATGACCCTCAAGTCCACACTTCACAACCCCCTTTGACCCTGCCTCCTAGAGCGTGTAGACAGTGAGCTGTTCTATTTGCACAGCTAAACTTCGCGTTGTGACATCTTCTCATTACAGCCACGGGCGCCCTTTTTCACCGCCCTGAATGTGCCTCAAACGGCGTGGCTACAATGCTAGAAGCTCATCGCAGTGAATGAAGGGTGACATCTCTCACTCAGGACGCCTTCACAGATGCCCCGAGACCTCCCCGAGGCACAAATCAGACTGCGGTGTTGCAGCGGTTTCTAATACGAACAACTTAAAAATGGTATACGAATCGTGCATGCTCATCAGGTTGTATTGATCCATCGGTTACGATCCATTTCTCAAGAGGCTCCGATAATGCATTGAATCCCGTGTGTAACGTGTGTGGTGGAGTAACGCGTGTGGGGTTTTGCAAAGAGTGTGCACGCATGTGTGAGCTGCGGACAGCGAAGTCACATCAGGGCAAACAGGCGCACAGAGAGAGAGAACAACCAGAGAAAGGTGACCAATTAAGATGCATGGCAGCGATTGTCTGGCTGTAAATGCAGACACGGAGTAGGCGTCTCGGTGGCGAGATATTGAGGCGATAAGGGGGAGAACACGTGCAAGAGGCGTCGGGACAACGCCGGATTAATGATGGCCATCTGGGAGCACCTAATGAGGAGGAGGAGGATTATAAATAGGGAACTGTGACGCAGAGAAGTTGAGTTGGTGGGAGTAAAGGCGAGAGTGAACACAAGAGAAGTCTGGGACCCCGCTCGCCACACCTCGTCCACTCCAGCGGTGTTGGAGGAGTGAAGGTAGACAGGCTAGCAGTAGAGAAGCTAGCAGAATCCTAAGTGTGTGTGAGACAGGCTATCAGTAGAGAGGCTAGCAGAATCCTAAGTGTGTGTGAGACAGGCTAGAAGTAGAGAGGCTAGCAGAATCCTAAGTGTGTGTGTGAGACAGGCTAGCACAGGGGTCGGGAACCTATGGCTCGCGAGCCAGATGTGGCTCTTTTGATGATTGCATATGGCTCGCAGATAAAACAAAATATTCTCACTTGTTTTAATCCATCCATCGATTTTTCACTGCGCATGTCCTGTTCAGGGCTGCAGGAGCAATTGTCCATTATTTTAATTGGATGATACTGGCCTACGTTTGCCGTTGCTGGGTAAAACAGGTAAACGCCCCCTTTTGAATCAGTCTGAGACTGCGTCTGCTCGGTCATTAGCTCAAAGCTAACCCTTCGACGAAGAAGATGGCGAAAATAAAAAAAGACGACGAGTATCGTACATTTCAGGACGAATGGACCGAAGAATTCGCCTTTGTGGAGAGAGCGGGTTCTGCGGTGTGTCTAATTTGCAATGACAAAATTACATCGTTGAAACGGTCGAATGTAAAGCGGCACTTCGACACGCGCCACGCTACCTTTGCATCAAAATACCCTGCGGGAGACAGCAGAAAGAAAGCGTGCCAAGAGCTTCTGAGCAGGGTGCAAGCTAGCCAGCAGCAACTCCGCGTATGGACCCGGCAAGGTGACTATAATTCGGCTAGCTTTGCTGGTTCTTTAGCAATAGTGAGGAACGGAAAACCATTCACAGATGGCGAGTATGCTAAAACGTTCATGCTGGATGTAGCCAATGAACTTTTTGATGATCTTCCGAACAAAGACAAGATAATCAAACGGATACAAGACATGCCTCTGTCGGCAAGAACTGTTCATGATCGTACCATCGTGATGGCAAACAAAGTGGAGAAAACGCAAGTGAAGGACATAAATGCAGCGCCGTTCTTTTCTCTGGCTTTGGATGAGTCAACAGACGTGAGCCATTTGTCGCAGTTCAGCGTGATTGCAAGATATGCTGTTGGTGACACACTGCGCGAAGAAAGTCTTGCTGTTCTGCCATTAAAAGGGTCCACAAGAGGTGAGGAATTATTCAAGTCTTTCATGGAGTTTGCTCAAGAAAAAAGTCTACCTATGGATAAACTTCTCTCAGTGTGTACTGATGGTGCTCCGTGTATGGTGGGGAAAAACAAAGGATTTGTGGCGCTTCTCCGTGAACATGAAAATAGACCCATCCTAAGTTTCCATTGCATTATACACCAGGAGGCACTTTGTGCTCAGATGTGTGACAGGCAGTTTGGCGAAGTGATGTCGCTGGTCATTCGTGTGATCAACTTTATTGTTGCCCGAGCCTTAAATGATCGCCAGTTTAAAACACTGCTGGATGAAGTTGTAAATAACTATCCTGGTCTGCTTTTGCACAGCAATGTGCGTTGGTTGTCAAGAGGGAAGGTGCTTAGCCGTTTTGCGGCTTGCCTGAATGAAATCCGGACTTTCCTTGAAATGAAAGGCATCGGGCATCCTGAGCTAGCCGACACCGAGTGGCTCCTCAAGTTTTACTATCTCGTAGATCTGACTGAACATCTGAACCAGCTCAACGTGAAAATGCAAGGCATTGGAAATACAGTGTTATCCCTTCAACAAGCTGTATTTGCTTTTGAAAACAAGCTGGAGCTTTTCATCACGGATCTTGAAACAGGTCGTTTACTACATTTTGAAAAACTGAGCCAATTTAAAGATGCATGCACAGCAAGTGAGCCCATTCAAAACCTTGATCTCCACCAGCTAGCTGGCTGCACATCCAGTCTCCTACAGTCCTTCAAAGCACGCTTTGGAGAATTTCGTGAGCACACTCGTCTTTTTAAGTTCATCACCCATCCAAACGAGTGTTCACTGAACACAGCCGACCTGAATTACATCCCTGGTGTCTCCGTCAGAGATTTTGAAGCAGAAGTGGCTGACCTGAAGGCCTCAGACATGTGGGTGAATAAGTTCAAGTCACTGAATGAAGATTTGGAAAGAATCACACGACAGAAAGCGGAGTTGGCGAGCAAGCACATGTGGACAGAAATGAAAAAACTCCAACCCGAAGACCAGCTGATTCTCAAAACTTGGAACGCGCTTCCTGTCACATACCACACACTGCAGCGTGTGAGTATTGCTGTATTGACCATGTTTGGATCTACGTATGCATGTGAGCAGTCATTCTCACATCTTAAAAACATCAAGTCCAACCTACGATCACGTTTAACGGATGAAAGCCTCAACGCTTGCATGAAGCTTAACCTCACCAAGTACCAACCCGACTACAAAGACATCAGCAAATCCATGCAGCACCAGAAGTCGCATTAATGGTGAGTGTTATAACAACATTATTTAAAAGAATAAATTCAGAGGCTTATTATACTGACATTTAGTTGAATTCACTTTTAAAATATATTATATGGCTCTCACTGAAATAAATTTCCAAATTTTTTGCTTTCATGGCTCTCTTAGTCAAAAAGGTTCCCGACCCCTGGGCTAGCAGTAGAGAGGCTAACGGAATCCTAAGTGTGAGTGTGAGACAGGCTAGCGGAATCCTAAGTGTGAGTGTGATGAGGCTAGCAGTGGAGAAGCTGGCAGAGTGCAATAGAGGCAAGGCGCAGAGAGGTTAGCGGAGCGAGAGAGAGTGAGCGGAGTGTAGCAGACCAGCAGCACAAGTGGAAGAGTTGCGGAGGAGATACGTGGTGTTGAACGCGAGGAGTTCCGTACGAATAAAGTTACAGGAGAAAAAGGTGCCCGCGTGAAATAACACCACTAAACATGTAACGGGTTCGCGTGACCCATGCAGTCACTAGAGGTCGCTATATTCACCACTTGCAAATTAGATTCCTCCTTTAACAAGTAGGCTTTCGCTACCAATATTCATTATACCTGTACAAGATTTTATTTTAGATTCCTCCTGCCATTGTGCTCTTGTCAGTGCTACATGTGTCTTGCCTATTGTCATTTCCATAAATTGATGGCATGGCATG